TGAGTAATTAAAAAAATTTGATTTTTCAACGTAATCTAACCATTATATTTTAAATATAAAGTTTCTAGGTAATTATGCTCTTCTGTGAGCTCCCAACGCCACTATTTTGAATTAAATTAAATCCCGCATTCATTTTGGAAAAACAAAATTAAAATTTATGTAAAATTCGTTAGTTAAATTTGAAAATCTTTATGCGAGTTTCAATTTAGCAAACACGAATCCCCCTATTTAAGTGTATTGCGCGTATCAAATCAGTCATTATAATTTTTAGAGTTGCGAGTATGGCAAAATAAGCCTAATTGATCACAGTGATAAGAAAGCGAGATGATCTGTTTGAAGGAAACATTTTAGACTGATCACAATAATGTGGATTCCATCGTCATTTAATAAACTGCTGCGCAACTATATCATCCTGCATCAATGCGCACATTATAATGCACCCCCGCTCCCTATTGTCAACAGCTAGAGTGAGAGCATTTTGCTCTAATAACATAATAAAATAAAAACTCAAGGCTTAATATTAAAGTGGCTGTACTCTTGCAGGGCGCCACATTAAACTGATGTATTATTACTGCAGGCAGCTTTAAAAACGAGTGCCCTGCCCTGCGCTCTGTGCGAGTGAGAGAGAGAGAGAGAGTTTTGTATAGTTGATCCAAAAGGAAAGAACTGCTCTCTTCTGTATGGTTGTTATCAATGGGCGAGTAGCAAGGGGAAAGGAAAGAGCATGAGGAGCGGACCGGTCAGTGCGGAACAAAGAATGTGTCTGGAATAAATAAAAAAAAAACTAAAATTATTTAATATACACTAATGTATTTTCAAATTGTTTTTTCTTTTTGAAGAGGGGAGGGGTGTTAATAGGCCACTTTTTATGATATGATCTAATTATTCAATTAAAAGGATCATAGAAGGCACAGATAACATCTTTTTAGTAATTTTTTTGGACTTTAATCGTTTAAATAAAAATAATATAATTAAAAACCCAAAAAGTTACTTAAATATGGTTTTCAATGAGGCGGCCTATGTTTTTATTAAAAAATCAGTATTACAAATAGCACTATTTGTATTTATTAAATCAACAAAAATGAATTAAAATTGATGTTATTGTATTAAATAAAGATCTTTGAAGCTGATATATTTTTTAGTGAAATAAATTTTTGTAAGAGAGGAAAAAGAATGCAACGCGTATTTTGCTGCTGGTCGTAATAAACCTAAATAAAATATAAGAACTTTTAACTTTAGAAAAATAATAAGCATGAAAAGAGTATTCAACGCTACTGCCAATAAACAAGCCACGCTGCATGTGTGTGTGTCTGTTGTGTTTGAGCGCGATTTGCTGCAGTAGGCGCGACACCGCGTCGCCGCGGCTCCTGTTAATTCTGCTTCTTGTGCCCCGCGACGGATCTTTTGTCCTTTTATTACACAGCCTGCCGCACATGTGGACTCAGGCCTTTTTCATTATAGTCTTCCAGGATGCATTCTCGTGTCATAAAGTCTCAACAAAGTGGTGTCTTTACTTCGAAATAATCAACTTCCACCAGACGCACATTCAGGGAAATAATTTTCTTTTTTTCTGGACCATAAATTATTTCTTTTTATTTAGTTCCAGTTTTTCATATATTTCGTATGTGGAGTGATTTGAATTTGGGCCGGACGGAGAATTTCATATGCAAATTGCTTCAAGAATAGCCAGCAGCGAGAAAGAGAGACCACGGAATTTAAGAGCATCTGCGTCAGGCTGCCGGCCAAGATATATAAAATAATTCTGCGCAAATAATATGCGAGAGAGAGAGAAGCCATAGAGCGTCGGCAGGCAAGTGGAAAGCCTGCTGGCCGAAACCGCGACTGCAAATCAGAGAGAGTGGTCTGCAATCGCGAGCATATAATAACGGTTCCATCGGGAGCCATCATCGGCCAGTGTCACTCGCAGCTGCTGACGCGGTGGCTGGCCGGGGCCTAATTTGCGTGCTCGCCTGGCTAGCTAAGCGGCGGCGGCGGCTATTTTCTCCACTCGACGACGTCGCCGGCGACGACGACGGCATTTTCCACTTTGGATGCAGCGCGGCGGCACATTACATGCGAGGAGGCGGCGGCGAGGTCGTTAGGCAGAATTTGTGTGACGGACGGACACAGTGGGGGAGGAGGGTTGGTTGGCTGGCTGGTCGGTTATAAAGGGAAGAAGAAGTTTCGTGGAGCTTACTCAGCAGCAACGCGAAGGCCCCAGCTGCCGCCCATCACACAGCCGACCCAAACCACCCACCATAGCCATCAGTCGCCGCCGCCGCGCGCGTTTCTCTGCCTCGCTCTTAGCCCCCCGTCGCCCTCTTCGCGCGCGCGTTACCGTGGCAACACGACCTCCCTGCCCGCTGCTTTCCTTGCCTGCTTCACCCACACCACCTCTTCATCGCGTAGCCGCGGGCAGTGTCCACCCAAGCACACGGGGACGGCAGGGGGAGGAGGACTGGGGTTATTGATCTAACAAAGAGAGAGAAACACACACACACACACACGCACACATACACACGTACGTGTATGTGTGTGCGGGGCGGACACACACACACTCGCGCCGGCACCGGGAGATATCAGGACGAAAACTTAAAGGGGTGGCTGGGGGTGATTTATGCCGCGCTTTATCTGTTCCAGCTATACAAATCATCGCGCACTCGGGGTGTTCGCTCGCCGCGTATAAATCCCACCAACTCTCTGCTCATTATGTTGTATTTTGATGGGCGCTGACTGACTACTTGATTCTATGTAGAGAGAGCGGCATACATATATGTATTGAAAGAATATGTGTGTAACTTGTTGATTTCATTGGCAATAAATTTTATATCGTCGGATGTGTGGTGGCGGCGGCGGGAAAGAAATATTCATTCCGGCGCTTACTGGCGGTAGTAAATGTTGTGTTAAAGTGAGAGAAGCCGCACGTTTGCTTTGATTGATTTCTGATTGCACGTATTTTGCGCTGTGTGCGAGAAAGACGACGGAAAAAAAGAGGAACAAATAAAGTTCGAGAGACAAAATTACCGCAGCAAGTTAAAAGAAGATCCAGAAGCTTATTTTTGAGGAGTTATTGATTGAAAGAGAAGCAAGATTTTTTATAAGAATATTATGCAAATGTCCGGGTTTTCAAATTATTATAATTAGAGAGCTCGTTCTAATTTATTCATTTTTAAGTAAATTAACTTAGTGAATGCCATCGGCAAAACAGAGCTGAAGAAAATCAATATGAATTTTAATTTTAAATATAAAATTTCAACATTTTATTTGAACAGGAATATAAATTGTATAAATAAAAATAACATTTAACCGTATTTTAAGAAAATTACGCTTAGGAAACTAAAATGTTTGTGTTTAATATTAAATTCAAAATTTCTTTTCCTTCGGTTTTGGCTTTGTGAATCTTTAACAGAAAATTTGCGCAGTTGATTATGCAACCCGCTCAACACAACGCGTCAAAACAAAATATTTGGAATATTATTATGAATTCTATATAAAAACGCAATAAGAATTTATCTTATACTATTCATTCCGGTGCTTACTGGAGGTAGTAAAATAATGTTGATGCTTGCTTTGATTGATTTCTGATCGCACGTATTTTGCAGAGTGTGCGAGAAAGACGACCGAAAAAAAGGAGGTACGAATAAAGTTCGAGAGACAAATTTACCGCAGCCAGTTGAAAGAAGATCCAGCACCTTATTTTTGATTGACTAGGGAGAAAGATTTCTAAGTGAAAGTTATGCGAATGTCCATGCAGGTTTTAAAATTCATGCGATCATAATTAGAGAGATTGTTTTGATTCATAAATTCATAAATTCACTTATTTAATCATGGAATTTGCAAACCAAAGCTGAGGAAATTCAATATGAATTCTTAATTGAATATAAAATTTCCAAACTTAATTTAGGAATATTTAATTTATTTCATATTTATGAAAAATCAATGAAAAAAAATATTTTACTGCATTTTTAATGAAAATTACATTTAGGAAATTAAAATTTTTGTATTTGATGTTAAATCAATATTCTTTTCCTTCAAAGTTTTGGCCTTGTGGTGCTCCGATAATGAATCTTTCAATGGAAATCGGAGCAGTTGATTATGCAACCTGCTCAGCACGACTCGTCAAAATAAAATATTAGAAATATTTCATGAATTCTAACAATATGAACGAGGTACACATTTGTCAATATAAATTTAAAATATTAAATGAATTATTATTGACTTTAATCCAGGGAATTGAAGACTAGTTAGAAATTCAATAGCTAAGTTTATAAAATCAAAAGCAATAAACATCTCGTTAAAAGTTAGCAATTTAAACGATTCGCAAGTTCACTGCTTTGTGAATTAATTCGAGAACGCCGTGAATAAACAGCGGAAGACGAGGATAAAGAGTGGGTACATAATATAATTTTGCGCAAAAGTTTCGTTGAGAAGGAGACCATAGTTTTCTTCGAGAGCCGCGCAGAAAGTTGGTGCGGTACATAATGTAAAAGCGCTCGACTGACACACAAGCGCGCATTATACAATATCTGACAGCTGATGCTGCAAGTTTGTTTACGTTTTTCATGCCGCACACAGAGAGCGGCGGCGGCAGCAGCAGCACAGCAATAACATTTCAGTCGGTTTATTCACATAAACAGCACGCGCATGGAGTCTTAGACGAGCAGAAAGATCCATGCGCCGGCAAAACGAAACGAATTAAATAATTTCATTTTTTCTTCTTCTGGTAAGTATAAAAGTTAAAAGTGAAATACAAAGAAACGTTGAAATTATTTATCTTTGCAGAGATTGAAGTTTTGCCGAAGAAAAAGTGGAAGAGGCGAAAATCGAGCGAATTTTTATCTGGCGCGAGAAATAGCGCCGCAGTGGCGTCAGGTAATTGAAAAAGCAGCCCCCTCTCTGCTCTGGTTTGCATTTCCTTGGCGTCGGCCGCCCGCTCTACACGCATAATCCACGGCGGGCGGGCAGGCGCGGCCCCCCGTTCGCGTTCGTTCATTGCCGCCCGCGAACGAGAAGAGTGACCACGCACAAGTCGCGAGAGGAGAGCGCGATCTTCTCCACCACCACCGCCGGCTGCCGCGAGTGTACCCGCCACGCCGTTTTCCGCACTCGGCGGAGGGCGATCAGATCAGTCGAGCTGCGGCAGAGGCGCGACCAACACCGCGAGCACGGTGCGCCCACACACGTGTGTGTCTCTCAAGAGGAGCTGAGGACAATGATGGCCTCGAGCGCGGTCAAGCGCGTCACGATCAAGCGCCAGCTGCAGCAGTTCTCGGTGCAGGACAAGCTGGACGCGATCCAGCGCGTCAACGAGGGCGAGTCGAAGGCGTCGGTGGCGCGAGACATCGGTGTCCCGGAGTCAACGCTGCGGGGCTGGTGCAAGAGCGAGGAGAAGCTGCGCAACTCGAACGACAACGAGAACCGCGGCCACAGCCCGACGGCAGTCAGTCTGGCCGCCCTGGCTGACAACATCACGGCCAACGGCTCGCTCGACCTGGCGGCCAAGCGGCCGCGACTCTGCTCCGAGGCGCCGGCCAAGGAGTCGGACGTGGACAGTGAGGCGCTGTGGTTCTGGTTGCGCCAGCAACAGCAGCACATGACCGGCCTCAGCGAGCAGCTGCTCGGAGGCCAGCAGGCGGCCAAGACTTCCACGGCTATAGCGGCGGCCGCCGCCGCGGCCGTGGCCGCCAACTCTACGGTCATGGCAGATCTGAATCCTACGACTGGCTGGTTCTGGCGCTGGTACAAGCGCTACGGTCTCAACATCCCCGACGCCTTGGGTGAGACTTTTATTTATTTATTTTTTTTATATTCTTTTCGTCTCGCGGATAAATTTTCGCGAAAGAATTTTTGCTGGCTTGCAGGCGGAGTGTCTCTGAATGTGTTATTTGTGCGCGGCCGCCGCGTGCTTTTCCTCGCTCCAGACTTGTCGCCACTCGAAGTTTATGTCTGCGAGGGGAGATCGCGAGAGAGGGAAGAGTGCGAATAACGTGCCGCGCTCGCTCGCGCAATTGTTTCCTATTTGGCATTTTGCTCTGTGTGTGCCGCCGTCGCCGCGCAGTAGATGCTGCGTGCCCAGAAATGTTTATCCGCGGCCGGCGCCTCTCCCCGCATTCTTTTCTCAACCGCTTATTTTTTTTTTTTTTTTTTTTTTTTTGAAGTGGCTGAAGTTTATTCAAATTTTTGGTAATTTTTTTCAACAAAAAACGTACTCTTCATTTGACATCAATTTGTTTTCAATATTTCAAGGATTATTGGAAAATTTATAATAGAATTTCTTGAATTTATTATGTAATTAATTTTGCAAGTAAATTAATTCTAAATAATTCCAAAACTCTGTAATTTAATATTGAAAAAATTTAATACTTTAAGAAGAAGTTAACTAAGTAAATAAAAGCTTCAAACACATTAATATTTTCATTATTTTGAAAATTTTGATTCAAAATTTAATTATATAGGAATTATTTTATTGGACAATAAATTTAAAGGAACCATTTTAATTATTGTTATTAAAAAATTACCATAATTTATGTTTAACGACAATTTTTTTAATAGTAAAAAAAGGGCTTTTGCTATAAGGAAAAAATTTTTTAAACCTTTTTCCTTATTAAAAGAACATTTACGCAATAAGTTCAGAGGAGGAACAGTATTACATATATTATATCACAAGAAGCAATAATTTATTAAATAATAAGGCACGCTAGAAAATGATCAATTTCGACTTATAAAATATTATATTTAATCAGACAATTAAATTTGAAAAGTAAAATAAATTTAAAGTTGAAAAAGTAATTAGAACGAGAATACTGTAATTTACTTAAATTTCACAATGTGCAAATTACACATTTTGTTTTAAAATAATTGATAGAAATGCATTTAGTTTTTGCAGATTTTTCGTTACTGTATTATTTTAAAATCATTTGCATTTTAATGCAAAAAATTTAAAAAGTTTTTTTTTAAATAAAAATAATTGAAATGGTTCATTTAAAATAATTCCTTTGGTTAAATTTTTAATATAAATTTTCAGAAAAATATTTAAAATATTGATGCGTTTGAAGTTTTATTTACTTTTTTCTTTAATAAAGAAGGTTTTGGAAGATTTTTTTTTTATTAAATTTTCAATTCATTTGTTCTTCATACTTATAATTTTTAGAAAAGTATAATATTACTTTCAAATTTCATGATAAACAAGGAAAACTAATGATTGATATTTTTCAGCTGCCACTCCAGCCCCAGTGATGGCGACGCACGTGAGTTCCATGAGTCGGACACCGATCCCGGCGCACACCTCCACCTTGCACGCGTTCACGCCTGCCACCCTTCCTGGTCCTGCGCACACCTCCAGCTCCATCCCCACACACCACCCCGTTAGCCCGACGCCCGAGGCTACCGTCGATGAGCCCTCGGACGACGAAGACGACGAACCACCGCTGACGGCGGCCGACGCCGTCGCCCACGGTGAAAAGTTCCTGCGCTGGCTGGACTGCTGCTCAGACCCCTCCATCACAGCCTTGCAGATCCTGCAGTTCAGGTATCTCCTGAACAACGTCAGGGCCTGCGCAGCCCGCAGGGCGAAGGCCAACAAGTAAACCGAGAGACAGTCTTTTCCTTTGCTCAACGCAACAGTTTGTTTAGTTTAGTTTTGGAAAATTACAGCCAAAGGACTGCAAGAAGTTATTATTATTATTATAATTCAACAAGTTATACTCTTTTAATTTGTTTGCAATCACGCGCACCAAACGCATTCCTCCAAGTCGGAATCGCAAATGTTAACAAGTTTTAATAGGTTAAGAAGTATCAAATGCCCGAAGGTTAAGTTTGAGTTGGTCACAAAAAGATGAGATATCTGCTTTTCCTACTGATGTGTGATGACGGTCAAAATTATTCAGAAAAATATTTTTCATACGATTAGTGCTCCTAGATTAGAATAAGCATAAATACTTCTTAATAATTGGACAATACTCGTGTTAAGTTGATTTTTCGGTCTCTCACTGACTTATAAACTATATTATGCAAATGAGCTTTGAGTTTTACGTTCGAGCTGTAATTTTCTTGCTGTATTCAAATCCGAGAATTATCTCTGCGTCTTTTAACCATTCATTCCTGATTGCATTCCAATGTGTATGTGAAAAGAAGGGAGACTCACCTGCTTTGTGGGTTCTGGCATTGGTTGGAAGGCCCCGTGGTCTGAAACGAAGTTTGCGATTCCCTGCCAGGTGCTTAGCTCGGGGTAGGCCAGGGCTGTGCGCCGAATGAAGGTGCAAAGAAGCTTCTGCAACAAAATTTATAATTCCAACTGATCTCAGTGATGAAAAAAGAGTTCCTTGATTCAGTTCATTGCCGAATTTCCTACTCGGTTATTCACACAGTGTAAATAAAGAAGAAAAAAATATAAACGAGAGTATAATATGTACAAAAAGAAATAACTCAAATGGCCACTTTAAGTGTAAATAATTATCTAGATGGGAAGTTGCGATTTGTGTTTCGATGAGAATTTGTGAAGAGGGAATAAAATCGAATTGGGTGCGCCTCCTGTGATAATCCAGTTGTACGGCAGCACCCGAAAAATAGTCACTGTCACAGGGTAATTACTCTGATTTTAATGTTTCCAAAATGCAAACTACACGGATGAATAAGCGTTTAAATTTAAAAAAAAAGTATATATAAAAATATATATTGAGCAGTCACACATAAACAAATGTTTTTGTCTTCCTTGTTCAAAACACTGGTTATTGTTTTTGAATGACCCTTCGACAATCTATTGATTTCCTTGTAACGCAAGACAAAGCCGACAAAATTTGAAATTTTTCGGAAAAGATGAAAACGTATTTTTGGAACTGTACCTGAAGATCTCTCCCACGATTTCAAAAAACAAAATTAGTCAGTCAGTCCTTTTCACATACTGTACACAGGTAGCCGAATAAATAATAATGATGTAGTTTTGCAATAGGATTTAGTCCATAGTCCGTGTTAAAATCATTTATGGAAAACTGAATTTGTACACAATGAAAATGTACAGGATGATCGTAAAAATAAAGAAAGCAAAAGTTATTAGATAAGTGATGTTTGAATTTGAATCTCACCTTAACACCGCACTCGTTGTACACAACCATGGCTGGTTTCTTTCTTTGTGGAAATTTAGATTCAATTTGAGAAAGAAATTTTTCTGCGTCAATGAGAACTTGTTCTTCTTTTTCAGAGTTGCTTCTATAAGACTCTGGGATTGCAAGCAACGCACTGAAAAATTGCAATACAGAGATATGAATGCTTGAACTTGGAAAAATTATTAAAGTGTGTCAAACAATGTCAGATCATCTATATTCCCAGCCACCTTGCTTATATGGTAGGTAGTTATACAACCCGCTTTACAGTAGTGTGGCGGAGGTTGCATAATTATAGTATCGAAAAATAAATCTACAATTCCTTTGGCACACTTTGGCCATTAATAATTCATCTAATCTAATCAAAACATTTCAAATCATCAAAAATATTTAATTATATGAGAATGATAGAGCAAATATGAAATAATAAAATTAGACAATGTTGTTTTCCAATAAACCAAGTTCAATTTTTTTTGTTATTGGAACACTTTTGATAATAACGTACCATTTTAAGTTTTGAGTTATCGCACTTGTATTGAGAAAATACATTTTTTTTGCAAAATTTTGTTCATAAGATAAGGAAAATAAATGAGATATTTTTGCACACAAATTTTGTTACCTTTCGTCAACATCGTCTTTGATGATGTCAGCGTCATTAGCCTCTGTGCAAAATTGAGTTTCTTCTTTTCCACTGTCAAGTAATTCATCTATTGATGGAGCGATGTCTTCCATGGCTATTGACACACAAAAATTACAATGCAGTGTTTTGCCTTAAGCAGATATAAACTATACTTAATTAAACAAAAGCAACCACACAACCTTCAATATAAGTAAATAGCAAAAACAGATTTTGTTTCCATGGTGACCGCACCGCTTACTGTATATAAAAATATATTGAAAAACCGCAACCAGCGCAACCTTATTTATTATTTGATTTTAATGCCATTTACTTAAATGTATAAACCAATTTACACAAAAATTAGCTAAATATTGAGTATTTCTTTCTTTTAATTGAAAGTATAATTTTTGAGTCCTCCAGAGTTAAAAAAAATTTCACGTCTTCAGCGTCGATTGGCATTATGAAAGCAGAGAAAAAAAATCAAATCGAAAGCATTTCAAAAGTTTTTTTGAACTATTTTTTAAGCATCCAATTTACCAATCAGCAATCATACTTCTCGCTGAAGATTTCTTTTTTTTTTATAAAAAAAAATAAAATTCTATTGATAATAATGTTATCAACGCACGCTGAAAAAATATGAAATTCAAGCACGTTATTAAAATTTGGTAAAAAATTAAGACCTCTCTAAACAACAGAGCGGATGTTTTTCACTCTTCTTCCTTCTTCTTCGTCACTTCTCTCAAGACTGTTATGTTCTATGTTCGTCTCATTCTGTCCAGACTTGTTCTGTGCCGTCTCGTTCAAGCGCCGAGCACATAAAATGAGCCAGCAACGCAGCGGAGGGGGGGGGGGGAGAAATGTAACTAGAGAAAATTTATGCGCCCACAAATATTTTACTCAGTTAGTCAGTTTGTACATTATGGTCTTGTGTGTTGTGCGTAACAATAACAATGATGCCTCCTGGCAGTGCATCAGAGGACCGGATTTCGCTGAATTTCGAGATGAAGGAGGATTTTGACGACCTGCCGAGGACCCTGCGAAACGACCTGACCACCGTCGTGCCGGCCAAGGTAGGATAAAATCGCGTATCAAACTCTATTCTTCACGCGACTGTTCCTGTACCATCCAGAGAGATAAAATAATTTTCCTTGCTAGAGAAATTATTTATATGCCTAATTTTCCAAACACTAAATAGCTCCAGTAAAAGATTGTATTATTAAAACGTAAAACGAATCCTATTTTCTCTTCAAAATTCAGGTACTTTCAATTTTATGGCAGGTATGAATAATGGAAAATTCTGAAGATTATAATTGCAAATTGATCACTTCTGCTCCAATTTACTAGTTGACGATGTAATACGAAGTTATGTACATATATATGTTTTGCTTATAAGCGCAGACACATCAAACATATCCTTACATTTGAAAAATGTAGATCTTAAATACATAATTAATAAAATAATAAAAATAATTAGATTGGAAATTCTGTATAAATTTAATTAAAATCTCAGCTAGACACGCCGGTTGCACATTATTCTTTTAAAATAAATTAAATAAAAATTCCGTTTTAATATTAAGCTCGGAGAGAAATCTGTGCCTCGTATGGTTGAGTGCAAGGGATGATTCCTTCGATAGGGAAGGGATCGGGCAGAGGCCGTCCTTTGGGGTTCTCAAAATTGAAAGTCTGAAGGAGATTTGCAATGAACAGGAAAATGCTTGTTTTGGCCAGAGTTTCTCCGATGCACTTCCTACGTCCTAAAAAAATTGCTTGTTTGTAAAAAAAAAATGACTATTGAAACAAAACGGGATAAAAAATTTGCTATACATACCAACTCCAAATGGGATGAAATGCTCTGGCACAATCACCTCGTTCTTTTCATTCAGGAATCTCTCAGGGTTGAAAGTCCATGGATCTTCGTAAAATTCCTCGTTCATGAACCAACCGTTGAAATTTCCAACCAAAATTGTGTCCTAGGACACATTTTTTAGAAATAATTAGAAACGATATTTTTTCCTTGAAATTTTTTACTTTCGGAATGAAGTAACCCAACAATGTTGAATCTGCCATTGCCCTGTGCGGCACTCCAATAACTTGTCCGACGAATACCCTGAGTGCTTCGTCAACCGCCGCTGCAGTGTACGGCATGCTTCGAAATATAATTTAAATTACTTCAACCCACTTAATTTATCTCAAATACTTTGGTTTGTGTTCCAATGTAACTGATTTTCCTTTTCCAACAACTCTGTCGATTTCATTCTGGATTTTCTTCACAACGTGAGGTTGACGCAAAAAGTGGAGAAAAGCAAAACTCAGAGATTTGCTTGTTGTGTCCGAACCAGCCAGGAACAAATCCATGCAAATTGCCATTAATTGTAACTCTGAAATTCAAAGCGTTAAAAATTTAAAGGGAGAATACCGAGTACACAAAAATGTTTTGAAAAGTTTTACCCGAATAGTAGGAGTTTTGATCAACTCTACTTTTGATCTCCTTGATGTAAACGTCCATGAAGTCTCTGGGGGAGCCTTCCACGTAAGAGGCCTCGTGGCGGAGGATCTCTTCATGCAGAAATGCCCAAAACTTCTTGTGACATGCCATATACATATTATAGCCAGAAGCCTCGGGCATAACGTAGCGCAGCACTGGGAAGTGGTTAAATAGGCATCCGGTCATGTCCATGCTGGCAAACATATCGGCCAGGATTGTCTGCAATTTTCGCGACTCCACGTCGTCATGTTCATACCTGGATCCGGCCAGCATTGTCCATATTGTGTTCAACGTGGGAACGCCAAAAGCGTCATGAAGCGGTAAATTTGCTTTTCCGTCCTTGAAAATTTAAAAAATTTAAAATTTTGAAGAGTCAAAATTTATGCTTCTTTAGATTTTTATCTTTGGCCAGAGATGCAATTTTTTATAAATAATTTAAGTCTAAAATAATGAATGCGTTCTATGTTTGAGGTTGCTTTTGATAAAAAAAATTATTGAAAGGAATAAAAATGATTTAAATGGTTACGGAGATTTTTTTATCATATATCCCAATATGGGTGAATTTTTTTTTACATAAATTATAAATAATTTTTGACTTAGTCATGGTTGTATTAATGGGAATCGCATTTTTTTTTTCAAATAGGTGTACTTATGCTGAGGAAAAAAAACATTTTGATAGTTTGAAATAAAAAGAATGTTATTTTGTTTATCTTTCACAAAATAAGTAAAATGCTCATTTAAGCTATTTTTAATTCTTTATTAAATTAGGATGTCCGCGAAAATAATAAATTTAATTTTATAAAATATTTTTTACCCCCATACTGATTCTACTTACAACTTTACTGTTGATGGCCATTTTAAAGTAACTTGTCATCGCGTGCACCTCCCTCATGATGATCGATTGCATCTGACTAGATTTGCCCAGGCCAAAGTTCTTGAGGTGGTGAACGAGGAAGCGCCTCTGCTCGCGCCAGAAATCTCCGTCCGTCAATATAATACCTTTTTTAAACAAAAATTAAACACCTAATTTACATTCTAGTCGAAATTTAACCTCTGCGGAGGTTCCAGGTGCGGTAGCGGTAGAAGGGTCCCTCGGGACGCCCACCCAGTTCGGGTTTGGTGGCCATTTCCTTCATTGCCTCGGCGCAGTTGAGCACCACCTGGACGTCGTTGCCGATGCGCAGACCAACCAATTTGCCATCGCAGTGTGTCTTTGCCAAAAAGGTTGCCGCCATGCTCAAGCTTCCAAATTTTCTTCTCATTCGCAACACTTCTGGAAGACTCCCTAACACCGGCCACCAGGCGGGACCTTGGATAATTTTGTAGGAAAAGTTTAGAAGTCAAATAGTTTAATCACTGTACCTGGTGGGAAGTTTTTAGGCTTCTGGGCATCAAGGTACAGGTAGAGACAAACTACGAAGAAGAAGAGCAATAGAGCCAGAAACATGGCCTGAAAAAATTATGTTTCAATTAAATTTTGCAACATTTTTTTTTATCTTATAATTATATACTTTTCGCGTATAGGATTACAATGAATCTCAATGCTTGGATGTCCCTTTGCTTCGAGGATCAATTTTTGGTTGCAGTTTAATTTTTAGTTTTAGGCTGAAAAAAAAAATGAATTGGGGCTCCAAAATCCTAAGATCTGGTCAAGGGTGAATCTGTCACAATGTCAACCCTCTAACCATTGCCACATGCATGTAGTTAAATGGATTTTCACCTTGGCGTAAATCATTTGCAAATAATTTTGGCACTTTTGTAATTTTTACAGCTATCGCCAAAATTTAATTCTAGATGTAAAATCAAATATCACACAATTCTGTAGTTTACAAATTGAAATGTTTTTGAAAATTTTCTGGCCGCGTTTTTTAAAGATTCATATTAAATTGGTGAAAAAAGCCAAATTTTAAGAGACAATTTTTTTTATAGACTTCCGACTTTGCATTGGCTTATTATTTTTTAATTCCTCAAGCGGGTCACGAAATATTCAACAAATCAACACTCACTTTTTGAAAAGTTGCTATTTGCACCGCGCCTGTGGATAATATTCAGAGTGAAGAGTATCACTAAACCAACCACGTCGTCAAACTATACTACCTTAAATCATTTTAGTATAATGTATCTCTAGAGCAAAATTTTCATCCAGACCCCTGTAACAGTGCAAATTACTTGAGGCCCCCACCTTATAACGGGAACACACAATCAATAAATTATCCTCACATTGGGTTATTGCTCAACATGATTTATTTCTTACTTCGCAAGTTAGAGTCAATGAACTATAGCTGCTTATAACTATCATGACTGCCCTATCTAGTAATCTAATCCTCTAAAAATGCCAAATGAACCCTTTATTATCTATTTACAAGCATGCACAGTTAAGAATAAAATAATATTTTCAATCGATTAAAAAAAAGTAAAAATAAAAGCTGAGAAAAATAGTTTAGCTCTGGGTTATAACAAACAAGCAGCGTCAAAAAAGTCAACGTGCCAAATGTTAACAACAAAAGCGCCAAATTTCCAGCAACCCGCTTAATATAATGATGTTCGGACAAAATGAGAGATAAATGTATTTCAAAAGAAAATTATTTGAAAACAATAACAGCGGAGGAATTTTACAGGGTTTGTTTCTTTATGAGAATCTTTGCCTTTTAGTTTCAAAAGTAATAATTTAATCTGTATTTAAAAAGTTTCAGATAATGAAATTTGTTAACCGCCGCTACAGTGAACGGCATGCTTTGAAATTTAATTTAAATTTCTTTAACCCACTTTAGTTATCTCAATTACTTTGGTTTATTTTCCGATGTAACTAATTTTCCTTTTCCAACCACTCTGTCGATTTCATCCTGGATTTTCTTCACAATGTGAGGTTGACGCAAATGTTGGAGAGAGATTTCAATGGGCGAGTGTATGCGACGACTCTTCCTTTCTCTATCTTTGAAAAGTGCAAATAAATTTTAAGTTCTTTTTTTTATGCTATAAAAATACACTTTTTTTAATTAAAGTGTGATTGACGTGATCTTGTTAATAATAATTAAAACTATCAAGTTCTTAATTAATTATCAGATGTAGATAGAGCATAATTAATTTATAATTGCAAACAAAACATTGTTAGGGATTTCAGCGTCGTGAATTTGTTAAACGCCATAATTTATTGCCTCCTTAAATTGCACCAAATTCAAAAAATTGCATGCACCGTGTAGACAACACATCATAACTCCATAATATAAGCAGCCCTCCTTGTAATCACGCACTGAACTCGCTCTCTTTCGACTATATCCTACGTATTTCATCAGGTCTTAATCTGGTCAGGAGCAAATTAAAGACATTTTATGCAACTTAAATATGTTTTTATTATAAATTACGTAATTATCTATTTAAATATCAAGATTTAGTCTTTCATTTAAAATCAAATATTTAGAACCCATCTGAAATTAGAAAGATTAAAATCATTTCAACTTCTTTGTATTTTTATGAATTTATATTCTAAAAATCAGGGAATATTCAATCCTAAATTAGCTGATTAATTTTCTGGTGCTACCTAGCATCTCCCCAATAAATTAAATATCAGCATCTAATAAAATAAAAAAAAAGTGTTTAAAAAAACCATTAATTTACATGCTAAATTTTTAACTAATAAGAACTAATAATTGACGTTCCTTGGAGTCAGCGTGACCCAGCATCCACCCTGAACTGCTGCAATAAATTGTCGCTTATCAAGCTTCAATGGTAGTTGGGTCTTTGAGCCTAAATTCAATGTGAATTTCCTCAGAATGGTCACCAGGCCCAGCTTGCTTTGCAGCTTTGCGAATCTGTTTCCTGCAATTTATTCGATTTCACATAAGAATTATAACCATTCAAAAATTTAATTACCTATGCATTGTCTGGGGCCGATTCCGAACGGCGTGAAGATGAACTGCGTCTGCTGGACAACTTGCTCGTCTAAGAATCGATCCGGGTCAAATTTCAAAGGATTCGGAAAATACTTTGGGTCTTTGTTCAGGGCACTGACAGGGACGTTGATTAGCACTCCAGGGTCGATTTCCAGGTCAGTGCCAGGCAGTGTGTATTTTGTGTTGCATTTCCGGATGTGGTTTGCAACGACGGGGTGTATCCGCATGGTTTCTGCCAAAATTATTATTCAATTAAAAAAAAATAGTACTTATTTTAATGAGATATTCTTGGCTGTTTTTACCATTTAAAACGCATTCCAAATATTTCATTTCCTTGAGCGCTTCGTATGTCACTTTTCCTTGGTGCTTTTCCAGTACCTCGTCAATGTGGTCTTGCAACTTTTTCTGTACGTCAGGGTTCAGTGCCAGTTCCATGCACGCATAACTGGAGACGCTTGACGAGGTGTCAAATCCCGCAAGGAAAAACACCGTGGCTTGCGCAGTCAAATCGTCGTGGGTTAGCTCTAGACATTTAAAATTAACTATTGAGCATTTTTATGTTTATGAAAACTTATAAAACATTTATTTACACTTGTCAGATTTAAATGATTAAATATCTAGGTTACAAAATGTTGAGGTTTTTGTAAAGGAGAAAACATCCATTATTTAAAAATAAACAATTAAACAGTTGGCGATATAGGCACAAATTCAAAATATTTTTATTTAATTATTTAAAATTAATATTTTTTGTTAGTGAGATTAATTAAGAATATTGATGGTTGGAAGTTAATTTTGAGATGATCTATACAACTCATTCAATTTTGGAACTTTTTCAAAGAAATTGAAAGCTCCTGAAATTTATGTTTAATATGAGCTCTTAAAATTAGTTCTTAGAAAAGCGCAATATACATTTATATATTTTTAAAATAAAATCAATTATTATAATTTAATTCATTTTAAAACTATTTGCATACTAATATTTGTGTCCGATGAGGTCACTTCTCCTTTTATTTCATGCAAGTCGGCCTCGTCGGTTGCGACCTGTCCTTTTTCTTTCAACTCAATCAAGAGCTGCATGAAATCTTTGCGGCTACTTCCACTTGCTTTTCTCATGTCCATGACATCCTTGACGAGCTTACGGAAGAAGTTTGTGGCTTCTTTATCAATCAAGCCCAATTTAAGCTTGAATGCCAACTATGGATTTTTTGCAAATTATTAATTGTTATTCTATGAAAAAAAAAATAGAGATATATAGAATATCTTGCCTCAGGTACGAAAAACGTGACCATTGCTTTCATTGCACCTTTAAGGTCAAGCTCAATCAGCCTTCGAGATACTCGCCGAAATTCAACATCTGGATCTTTTATCGAGTTGCACTGAATGCCGAAAATGCATGTGCCAACTATGTCCGTGAAAAAGCAAGCAAATAGCCTCTAAATTAAAAAAAAAATTGTAAATTATTTTAAGAATAATTAAATAGTTGCATAATATACCCTGAGTTCAAATTCTTCCGTCTCTTTTGCCAATACTTCTAGTTTTGATTCAAATTCTTTTGCCACGTCCAGCATAAGAGGAAGCATTCCTTTCATTTTTCCGGAAGTAAAAGTGGGCACAAGTTTTGCCCTCATATTTCTCCATCTTTGGCCCTCAAGAAAGAACAAGTTTTTCGCCTGCATTGGATCTGCTTCCTCGTGAATCTAAAAAATATTAAAATTCAAGTCCAAATTTTTGAAAATATTTCTATTTTTATATTTACGTCAAATCCGTGATCCACGAAATGAGAGAAATCTTTGATCAAGACGTGTTTGATCATCTCAGGCTCGGTGATGACTAGTCCCGGCTTCTTGCCCATGAAGTAGCCAAAGTAGGTGTGCGGCTTGTTTTCTATGTAAAGCCGCTCGAAGAACTCCGCCAGGTGCTCCCTGACCATCAACACTTCCTTCATTGATCCCAGAACAGGCCATGGCTTGACAAACACTACGCCTTTCTTTTCCCAATAATCAAAGTGCTCGGTGAAGTGGCGATAGATCAGGTAAAGCGTGACGGCTGCTAAAGCCACCGTGACTTGAAGGGCCAAGGGCACGTCCATGGCACTGATCTGAAAACAAAGATTTTTTTTTATATTTGATAAGGTTTTGTAGTATACACCAAAGTGATGAAATTTTTCTTATCAAATGATGTGATAAGACTTTTTTGAACAAGCTTACTAACAATTTATGACGAGGCATAAAGTTGTTTTGACATGTTCAATTTCTTTCGTGATGAATCTATTAGTGAAAATGTTTTTTTTTAAACTTCTTATTTATTACTAGTTTTTTGGTCTCTCTTTTTTATAGTTTTTAGAAAATGAACTGTTAATGAATGATTTAAAAGTTCTTGTATTCAACCCCTAAGTGGAGCGGCAGCCTGCTTTGGCCATTTGTGTGGCGGCACAGTATTTACAACTTAATAAGGCGTTTGCAATTCGATATTATCTTTTACATTTTTTGATGTTTTATTGAAAAATCTGTTAATATATTCAAGATTTCATAGTCTTTAAATAGAAACATAATATTTTAGCTGTTATAATTTTATAATATCTGTTTATTTATTCCTTTCATTATAATTATATGCAAGAAATTCCACAAATTTTGCTTTTATGAAATAATATTTTTATGAACATCAAAATATTTTACATCATTGCGGTGTTACATATTAAAGACTATTCATAAAATAATAATTAAAAGTATTATTCTTCGCTGCGTTTCTCTAACTGAAGCCACACTCCATCCTTGCTAGTCGGAATGAACTGAACCTTGTCGAAAACGACAGGGTACTGCGTCTTTGGTGAAAATACCAATGTGTATTTGCGGAGGAAAGTGAGCAGCGCAATCTTTGACTGGATCAAAGCAAATCGATTACCTTAGACAAAAAATTTATAAAACAAAATAATAATAATATAATTAATATTCTTGTACCAATGCACTGCCTCGGACCTTCTCCAAAAGGTGAATAAATGTACTGGTATTTGTGCGAATTTTCGTCATCAATGAATCTCTCAGGGTCAAACCTGTCGGGGTCAGGGAAGTATTTGGGGTCGTTTTGCAGAGAGCAAATTGGAATTTGGACCATAGTCCCCTTTTCAATGGTCACATTTGTGTTTGGAATCGTGTACGTTTTTGTGCACTCTCGAATTATTATAGGTATTGGTGGATACTTTCTGAGCGACTCTGTAATAAATAAAAATTTAAAACTGAAAGGTGCATCAAATAAGAAACCTTTCATAATCCAGTCCAAGTATTTCATATCCCTCAAAGCTTCGTAAGTCAATTTTCCGTTATTTTTTTCAAAGACTTCATCAATTTCCAACTGCGCTTTCTGCTGTACATCTGGATTGGCTGCAAGTTCAAGTAAGGAAAACGATGTCAAAGTAGAGGATGTTTCAAAACCAGCAAAGAAAAATACTGTCGCCTGTGCTGCCAATTCAATGTCTGACATTTCTGTAATTTTCGGTGCGATTGCAATCGCTATTTATTTAATTTTGTCACAGTTGAAATTATCTCACTGAATGTGCTGCTACTTGAATTTTGCATTTCCTGTTCAGCTTGGTGCTGATCCTCGTCGTCAGCATCAATTGCCACGCTGCCTTTTTCTTGCAACTCCACTAACAGTTGCAAAAAATCCTTTCTGTAAGCCTTGGTTTTCTTTCTCTGCTCCACCAAAGTTTTTGACAAAGTCTTGAAAAATTCAATCGCATCTTTCTGCATTGATGCGATTTTCAGCTTCATCGCTATCTACATGATATAGTTATAAAATTTTGTAATTTAAATTTAAAAATCATTGTGTACATCTGGCATAAAGAATATTATCATTCCTTTGAGCGCCTGCACAAAATCTAGCTCGAATAACTTTTTTCCCATGACCCTGAACTGATTTTTTGGATCCTTGATACTGTTGCAAGTGATACCAAAAATACACGTTCCAATCATGTCCGTGAACAAGCACCCCATCAGGTCCTAAAATAAAATTTAAAATTAGCTTCATTTGCTCCTACTCATTTTTGAACTGTACTTTAACTTCAAAAACTTCTTTGGTCGTTGCGAGTTTTTCCAAGTGAAGCTCAAATTGTGAGGTACATTCTTGCATTAAAGGGAACATTCCCTTAATTTTCCCAGATGTGAATGTTGGCACAAGTTTTGTTCTCATATCCTTCCATCTTTGACCAGTCAAGTTAAACAAACTGAGCGCCTGTAAGGGGTCCGCTTCCTCGTGGAACTGATAATCAAGTTGGATATAATTGAATAAATTAAATAACGATAGTAAAAAATTACTTTAAATCCGTGGTCAACAAAATGAGAGAAATCTTTAACAAAAATCAGCTTTATCAGTTCCGGATCAAACGCCAAGAGGGTAGGGGTTCTTCCCATGTAAAATCCAATAAATTGCTCTCCTTCGTACTTTTGGTACAAGCGTTGGTTAAACGTCATGGGGTGTTCTTTGATGAGGAACACAGACGTAGCGGATCCAAAAAATGGCACTGGTTTGACGCATTTCACGCCCATTTTCTCCCAGTAGCCAAAATGCTTTGTGAAAAATTTGTAGACCAAGTACGTCAACAGGGTGATAAGGCTGAGGGTGATTTTTTTCCATACATGGGCAGAGCGCACTTTGCGCTCTGCGATCTGCGCTCGCGCTCTGCGCTCATGAGCGCGAGCGCAGAGCGCGATCGCACGATTTTCAAAATCGTGAGCGCGAGCGCAGAGCGCGAGCGCATTGGTCGCTGAGCGCAGCGCTCAATTGCGCTCATTTTGCGCTCAAACCAAGAGTAAAAATTCCCGAATTTGATCAAAAATTGTAATGAAAAACAGTGTTTTTATACCAAAAACTTAAAACTGATCCCAATTTTGGTGATTTAACTTCAACTTTATCATTTCCAATTGCCGATGTATTTTTTGTTATATTAAAAAATTGTCTAAAAAGTCGCACTTTTTCCTCGGATAAAAATATTTTTGAGCGCAACGCGTGAGCGCAAGACTTGTTAAAAATTTGAGCGCGAGCGCAGAGCGCGAGCGCAACATTTTCAAAATCTTGATCGCGAGCGCAGAGCGCGAGCGCACTGTTGCCAGTGATCGCGAGCGCGAGCGCGAGCGCAAAATTGTTGAGCGCACCCATGTATGTGATTTTCACTCCCAGTGGGATGCCCATCAGAAAAGAAATCATGTCCTGAAAAAGGCGACAGAATAAATGAACAGCTTTTTGTACCATAGACTAAATTCCATTAAATATATTTTTTGCCCATTTGTGCAATTGACAACCCTCAAAGAAACTTTTATATTGCAAAATTTGTCATTAATTAGTTCAATAAAAAATTTAATCTTGAGGATTAACAAAAATTAAAGTTGTATAACTAAGGAGAAATTTAAATTTAGATGCTTGCTTTCCTCATTCTGCGCTTCAGAATTTATTACACATTTGTGTGCCATATTTTTTTGTTTAAAAATTAAACTTCTTCTCGGTTAATATTTATAAACTGCATTCTAGTTTTTTTTCTTTGCTGTACGGGTTGCATGGAATTATCTGCGCAAAAACTGGCCAATTAAAGTGAAAATGGTCTATGAATTGTCATTTAAAATCTTTAAATTTTAAATTGCTTCTCCTCATGATTAAATTTTTGCTATGATTTGCTCCTCTCTTCAAAATATCCTTTTTACATATTATTTTACTTTACTCGACGCAAAGGATCAGAGTGGCCAATAACATTATCAAACAATAATTGTTGTTTATATAAATTTTAGCCGAAGCTAAAACATCTGTAGAGAGTGTGCCGTTTAATCTTATAATACTTTTTTAATCTTATCTTTTATCCCGGGTACGTATGGGTACTGGAAAAGAAAACCGCCAACAAAAATAGCAGTATTTACATTTCACAGTGTTTAAAGAATTCGGAAACAGGAATAATTTAATGTCATGATAACTTTTTGAGGATTTTGTAAATAATGCCGAATGTTTTGGTGGAATAATTTAATTTTGGGCCTTAAATTCTTCAAGATTCTTCAAGACACTAACCTCAAGCAGCTTGATCGGTTTATAATTTAAAGAGCAACAGTAAAATTACAGCAGCGCGAGCTGCTTCACTAAGCAACTCTTCTCGAGTGTGATTTCTATTTTCTTGGTCCGTCCCCCCTGTCACCTATTAAATACGAAACTATAATAAACGCGAGTCATTCAAAGTATCATCAATGATCTAATCAGGCAAATCCCATTCAATAATGTCGCACTGATTTAGGCTCCGTACTTATTCTTTCGTCGCTTAGCTTGGCGTTCTCCAGCGTCTCCAAATGGAGAACATCCAAATTACGTCAACGTCGGCCTTGGCGCCTAATGCATCTGGCGGCGAAAAACTACATTATGTTGGGTTCACGTGTTTAACTACATGCCAGGCTATTCGATATATACTCTTTAGCATAAATAAATAAATATACAGCATAGTATGCGCTCAACAACCCATTATAAATTCCTAATTAAACGTATTTCTTATTATCTTCCTTCTAATCATGAGCTGAAAACAATTTTATGCACTGCCTAAGTAAAATAATGAATAAATGGGCTCCATCTAAATAATTAAAGTATGTTTTAAACTGGGTTCAAACAATCTAATTTTCTTCCATCATTTATTTTTTATTTTACAGTAAAGAGTAAAGATATTTTAGCCTTTTTTCAGCCTGTCTGGGCCCACAGACCAAATATGTAAATGAATTCATTGAGTCTTTTTCATAGCAAAAGATGATTTTACTCTGCAATATGTGTGGCTGAATAATGGGATTTTAAATCGTGTAAAAATATTAATATGGCATCAAACTTTTTCAGAAGTTGAAATTATGATACAGCTCAAACTATTAGGTGCATCTTGTGCTGGAGAAGGTATAAGTTCTATGAAATAATTAAATAGAAAGTAATAAAATAAAAAGTTCTGTTTCAAAATAGATTTTTATAAAAGTAGTACATTTATGTAAAAAAAAAATAATGATAATCTCATAATTTGTATGACCTATTATTAAATTAAATTTATAATTGCCAGTCGCGGTTGTTTTAAAGATAGCTTTTGACAAGTTCTTCGCTAACTTCCCATAATTTTTTTGCATCGTCTTTGTTACTCGCTCTTGCAGAGACGTGTGCTGGTTTGCAGTCACTGAAATTTTTAGGCAAGATCAGTTTCTTGCCAACACGAAAAAGTTAGGTCAAACCTGAAGTAAAATTCATTTTGCTCTGCGAGTTGCTCGTCCAGCGCGCAGTGCAGAGTCGTTTGAGCCCCTTGGACCGGTGTTTTGATAAAACAACCGAGTCTCTGGAAAAGCCAGCCGCAGCCGCAGGGCGTGTGCCTGCCTAGCTCGGTGGCCACCACGCCAGGGTGCAAGGCGTAGGTGACGACGCCGGTGTTCTTGAGTCGCTCCTGCAACTCCAGGGTGAACAGCAGGTTGCATAGTTTGCTCGTGCTGTATGCGATCACCGAGTTGTACGAACGCGTTGACTGGAGGTCGTCAAAGTTGACTCTTCCCGCTTTGATAAAATATTTTCAAAATTCAGCCAGTTAGATGAATTAGACAATAACTTACCGCGATGTGCAAGAGCAGAAACATTAATTATTCTGGCTGGGGCACTTTCTTTGATTTTGGGCAACAAAAGATTTGTGAGCAAAAAGTGTCCCAAATGATTTGTTTGGAACTGCATTTCCAATCCGTCCTCGGTTTTAGTGTAGGGACAAGCCATGACGCCTTAAAAAGCATATCAATTTTATTTATTTTTCGTTTTGAAAAATCCACTCTCAGCACCAGCGTTGTTAATGAGGAGGTGAATTTTCGGCTCGGATGCTAGAATGTCATTGGCGCATTCTTTGACTGATTTAAGTGACGCCAAGTTGAGTTCAACAACGCGAATTTCGCCGCCTAGCACTTCCTTTTGCAGTTCGCGAGCTGCACTTTTGGCACGGTCAACGTTTCTGCACGCCATGATTATTCGAGCTCCTGTAGTACAAATTGTACAAATTATTTTTTTCTTAATAATAAGCATACCTCTTTTTAGAAGGTCTTTTGCCGTCTCATATCCGATGCCTGTGTTTGCTCCTGTTATGAGGACAGTTTTTCCTTCAAGAGTGGCTTTTGAGGTGCATTTTCCGCTCCCAAATAATCCCATCACTCTTTAATTCTGTTTAAAAATTTAAAATAACTCTTTTATAGCTTAAATTATTTTTAATGATGATTTTAGAACACATAAAGTATCATTGTTTATTTGTCCAAGTGTGAGACGCGCGAGAACATTTAAATCGTATAAAAATAATATAATTATTTTGCCGCACTCATGGTGAAGGTCAATGCTAACAAAAGTGCCTGCAGCGGTGGGCGTATGAATGTTGGATTATACAGGCCTCATTGGCCAAAGTAGAAGTGAAACACAAAATATTAACTTTTGCCTTGTTATATAATTAAAAGTTGTTTTGTTTAATTAAATTGAACGGGAAATGGGCATAGTGAATTGATAACTGAGAAAGTTGATCTATCTATTAATAAAAAGCGTGAACTTCTTCTTTAATGTTACGTAACATATTAAATTAATTAATAATTCTTAGAGCAAATCAATAAAAATCGATAAAAACCCGAATTGAAAATATATCATTTTTGAACCATAGAAACTTAATATTACTATAATTTGCTGGATGCCATTGAATGCGATGAGCTCTCGAGACGCTCTCAGAGACACTATCAAAACTTTCTTCACACTTGCCAACACCTGCAGCAGGTGATCTGCTTCCCCAAAACAGACTAACGGGTCCGGAGAGTATTTTTATATCAAAGGCGCTGCTATGGCGCTGCAATCAGGTGGCTTATTGAGGAGGATTGAGGGGTAAAAAAGGCTCATAAATGAAAAGGTTGGATGTTGGATTTATAATTTTAAAGCAAATTTAAAAAAAAAATATAGATAAAGTATTATTGCCTAATAAATTTTCTTCAAAGTCATATTGATGCTAAATATTAAGTCAAGCCAAGACCTTATTAATTAAATCTTTTCAGCCTCTATCCGAGCCACTATTCATGATAACATTATCGCTGGTTATCAGATTTTGTCAGCGCGGCGCCACATTGATTTTTTAGGTGTTTTTTTCTTTTTAAATTTTATTACTATTTTTTTAAATAGTTGTCTTATGCAACTGAGCATAACTGTGTTTGAAATTTGAAATTTTTATTAACATTCTAGTTAAAAGTGCGATTTTCATATATTTTATATTTTTGTAGAAATGCAGTAATAACTTTATGAGAATTTTATGAACTATCTTTTGTTTTTCGCTCATGTTGTGATAATTTCGTCTGATCTCAGGTGGGGCCCCTCTCGCCAATCGCATGCTGTTTTATGAGGTGCCGTTTTATAGTGATCGGTCTTATAATGCCGCGACACAAGCAATATTTTTGTATTAAAATTTAAATTTGAGCCTTATTTAAGACACTAACCTCAAGTGGCTTGGTCTGTATTCAATTTGAAGATCAACAATTAAGGCAGCAATTAAGTTTCCTCCGATTTTCTTGGCACCTGTCAAATAGAAGTCATTCAACGCAGCATCAATACCATCCAATATGTAATGTCAAACTGACTCAGGCTTCACACTTCTTTCGTTTTGTTTGACGTTCTGCAGCGTCTCCAATCGGAGAACATCCAAGTTACGTCGGCGTCATTTTCGGCCTTGGCGCCTAATGCATCCAGCGGCGAAAAACTATATTATGTTGGGTGTCCGGACGTTCTGGTGTTGAACTTCACGCCACTACCTTGCTTAATTAATAAGCGTAAAATGCGCATTTAATCGAAACAAGACTAAATTTCAGTAAAAAGCGTAAAATTATTACATTTCTGCCTTTTTATTATGACAAGCTGAAAAACAACGACGTAAAAGTAATAAAATAAACACGCTCTATAGCAATTAAAAAAGTCTAACAAAATAATTTTGTCGGTAATTTACGGTAATTTATTTTTTACAATAAAGAAATCAATGTTAAGGTATACTTCGGCCTTTTTTCAGCCTGCCTAGGCTCGCAAACCTGATAAATGGCATTTTCTAAGGTGGCCGGACCACCACCTTTTGGCCGAAAGTGCCTTTTTGGACTTCACCCGAAATTTGGGTGTTAAGCAAAATTTATTCCTGAATATTATAGCTGAATTATTTAATTGTAATTTAGCAATAAAAATGGCGCACATCTGTTTATTTCACGAATTATCTACAGAAAGTATGATTTTTCAAACTACTTATTGCTACAAGTTAAAAATTATTCAATCTTCGCTGCGTTTCTCTAATTGAAGCCACACGCCATCCTTGCTTGTCGGAATGAACTGAAACTTGTCGAAAACGACGGGGTACTGCGTCTTTGGTGAAAATACCAAAGTGTAATTGCGGAGGAAAGTGAGCAGCGCAATCTTTGACTGGATCAAAGCGAATCGATTACCTAAGAAAAATATTAAAATTTATAAAATAATAAAATTAATATTCTTGTACCAATGCATTGCCTCGGGCCTTCTCCAAAAGGTGAATAAATGTACTGGTATTTGTGCGAATTTTCGTCATCGATGAATCTCTCAGGGTCAAACCTGTCAGGGTCGGGGAAGTATTTGGGGTCGTTTTGCAGAGAGCAAATTGGAATTTGGACCATAGTCCCCTTGTCAATGGTCACATTTGTGTTTGGAATTGTGTACGTTTTTGTGCACTCCCGGCTCAAAAATGGTACTGGTGGATATTTTCGCATCGACTCTGCCAGAAAAATTTTGAATTTACATTATGGGACTGAGAGAAAGGTTCCGTGAAAAAACCTTTCAAAACGCATTCCAAGTATTTCATATCCTTCAAAGCTTCATATGTGACTTTTCCGTTATATTTTTCAAGTACTTCATCAATTTCCAACTGCGCTTTCCGCTGTACGTCTGGATTTGCCGCGAGTTCAATCAAGACAAACGTTGTCACTGTTGATGAAGTCTCAAAACCAGCGAGGAAAAATACTGTTGCCTGCGCTGCCAATTCAATGTCTGACATTTCTGTAATTTTCGGTGCGATCGCAATCGTTATTAATTTTATTTTGTGCAGTTAAATTTTTCTCACTGAATGTGCTGGCGCTTGAATTTTGCATTTCCTGTTCAGCTTGGTGCTGATCTTCGTCATCAGCATCAATTGCCACGCTGCCCTTTTCTTGCAACTCCACCAACAGTTGCAAAAAATCTTTGCGCTGCATCTTGCTTGTTTTCCTCTGTTCAACCAAACTTTTGGATAGTTTTTTGAAAAATTCCATAGCGTCTTTTGGCATGGTTGCAATTTTCAGCATCATTGCCACCTATTTGTACATACATATTTTATTTCATATAATTAATATGTATATATATTAATTTCAATTCCGTACATCAGGCATAAAGAACGTGAGCATTCCTTTGAACGCCTGCACAAAATCCACTTCAATTAATTTTTTTCCCATGACCCTGAACTGATTTTTTGGATCTTTTAGAGTGTTACAAGTGATGCCAAAAATACACGTTCCAATGATGTCTGTGAACAAGCAGCCCATCAGGTCCTAATGAAAATTGCAAATTAATTATATTCTTATTGCACCGCTCATTTTTGAACTGTACTTTGACTTCAAAAATTTCCTTAGTCGTTGCGAGTTTTTCCAAATGAAGCTCAAATTGTGAGGTACATTCCTGCATTAAAGGGAACATTCCCTTAATTTTCCCAGATGTGAATGTGGGCACAAGTTTTGCCCTCATATCCTTCCATCTCTGGCCTGTCAGGTTAAATAAACTGAGCGCCTGCAAAGGGTCCGCTTCCTCGTGAAACTAATCCCAAAGTCAAATGTAATTAAACAAATTAAAGGATATTAAATTATTAATTAATAACTTTAAATCCGTGGTCGACGAAATGGGAAAAGTCTTTAACGTAAATCAGCTTGAGCAGTTCAGGATCAAAAGCCAGCAGGGTAGGAGTTCTGCCTACGTAAAGTCCAATAAATGGCTCCCCTTCGTACTTTTGGTACAGGCGATTGTTAAAGTCCATGGCATGTTCTTTGAGGAGAAACATGGACGAAGCTGATCCAAAAATTGGCACTGGTTTGACGCATTTCACGCCCATTTTTTCCCAGTAGCCAAAATGCTTTGTGAAAAATTTGTAGACCAAGTACGTCAACAGTGTGATAAGACTGAGGGTGATTTTCACCCCTAATGGGATGCCAGACAGAAAAGAAATCATCTTCTGAAAGAAGGAACGAGAGGCGACATTATTATTACCGGTAGAATTTTTTTACTGCGACATTGATACATTTGATTCAACACGTCCCCTTGGTCTATTTGTACGGTTTACTACACTACAATAATTAAATATAATTAATCTTGAAGATTTCAATAATCATTTGTTGACAGCAGCCAAATTAAAAACCTGTTTTACCATCTTTTTAAAATTAACGTTAAGTACTGTAATAACTATAAAGGAATAGCGTTTCTTAATATGCAAGCTGAAGAACAGAAATGTATATAGCAGATTCAGAGAGTTATTTATAAATTTCTGCCAAACCTATTGAGTGATCACCAATCTTATATGATCCTATTTTATTACTCATTTCTTTAATCTTATCTTCTTGTTGATGTATCCAGCTAGGTTCATCTGGGTACTAATGTAATTTTGAAAATAACGACGTAATGAAATAACATAGTTAGTGTTTAATGACTTTGACCTTGCCCCCTTATCAAAAACTTTTTGCGCTTCATATTCAATTATAATATAATATACGGCATGAAAATTTGCAGGTCGCTAATAAAATTCTATATTTTTCAAATATAAATTTTTTCTTTAATTTTATTAATTATATTTACTACCAAAAGTTAAATTAAAATATTAATTGCTCTAATTAATTGAAAATCAAATTACAAGTGACTAACCTCAACTTGATCTGTAAAATACGCTGCTTCAACTAATAGCAACTGCTGTCCTCAAGGGGACGCTGATTTTCTTGTTTGTTCCTTGTGAGTTGGGCCACCTATAGCTATGAGATTAGAGACGATCAAAAACGCGACTCATTCACCACAGCACCAATCCTAAACTATAAGTTGCACTGCGAGTTTGCCAGATCTTTCATTCACACTTCTTTCTCTTTTTTTGGCGATCTCTAGCGTCTCCAAATGGAGAACATCTAAATTACGCCAACGTCGACTGTTTTCGACCTTGGTGCCTAATGCATCTGGCGGCGAAAAACTGCATCATGTTGGGTGTTTTTCGCATATCAAGCAGGATAGTCTGACTTTCATTTTTGCTTATTTAAATGTTATGAATTGTAATTTTATATGAAATAATATTATCTGATGTTTCGGTGCAAAATTTTTATTTCTAGCCAAACGTTAAATTTATCAAATTTATTTTAAATAAATTACTGACCTCGATTGGTTTGATAATGTTTTATATTTTAATTATTTTATAATTATATAACGAAGAGAGTGTTTATTTTGTTTCTTCCTGATCCAACCTGGATCAAAAACAATCGCAGAGCAAAATTATTCAGTGAAGCACCAAAAATAATGTCGCACTGACCGTGGCTCACGAATTCGTCGGCTCTCTTCTTTAGTTTTGTTCTCCAGTGTAGCTCGAGAGGCCACTTGCAAATTACGTCAACGTCGTTCTCGGCCTTGGCGCCTAATGGATCTGGTGGCCAAAATCTGCATTATGTTGGCGCCAACTGTGTTTATGCTTCACACCAACTTCGGGCTTACATTGTGCAGTTTCCTGCCCTCTACATTGTTTTCCGCCAAAATTAAGAATTTGATAAGAAATGTCTTACAAATTGAATCGCTGTCTGCGTTTTAAATAACGGCATAATATAGATTTTGGTATTTTTTTTTTATTTTCTACAAAAAATGGTATTTATTAAATTTAAATTTTGCTTCAGTGCTCCATTTACGTGTCCCATGAAAATCTCTCCGTTAATTTAACAACCATCATGCATTAATACCTCTCTTCAGTATTTCCTTTTTGTTTTGCCAAAGTACCAAACAAAAATATGTTCGCTTATTTTTATTAGCAAGTTATTTAAAATTTATGGAAAACCAATTCCACAAAAATAATGAAATTAATCCACAATTTTACGATACTCCCGCAATGACAAACCCGAGCTGGAAACAAGCGCACTTTGCGAACAGACATGTAAAAACGAGATACGCAGTACACGGTTTCCACTTTATACTCTGCAAAAATAAAACTTTCCATACTGATATAAATAATGACTGTGATTGTGAAAAGTGGGATGTAAAATGGGATTATACCATTTATTTGAATGTAGCGCAAATAATCTTAGTTTGTCTGAAATAGCAAAGAAAAACAAAAAGTAAATTATTATATGTAATTTTATATTGTATTATATCTGGATATACTGTATGTTTATGTTGTACACGAAAGTGTCTGATGATGATTATTTTTATTAGAAAATAGATATATTATGTTAATTAAAGTACAAAGCTGGCTGATTTTGAGACGTGATTTTTCAAGTTTTAAACCATTTACAATTTTTTTCTGATTAAAATTTTTCATAATTTTCTAATGTAAGCAAAAATTTTGTAAGACGAATACCGTATTTATCTGCCAATTATTTTAAATTTATATCTACTTCCATAGAATTTTTTGCCCTGTTTTTTAAGTTTTAAAGAAAAGTTTGGCTTTCTTTTGAAAATATAAAGCAAATTACAAAGCAAAATATAAAGCAAATTAGTAAGTTTTTGTTTTTTGTTCCTTGGTTATCTGAAGTTTCACAAAGCCATTAATTAGTCAAATTTCTGATTAAATAATTTTCATTAATTTTTTCGTTGAAGCTTGTCTGTCAAAGTGCCTTCTCTGAACTGCCCCAAACAAATGAAAGTTAAAAAAATTTTATGAAAGCTGCTGGCTAACAAATAGTCAATATTAGTAGCTAAAACCAAAGCAATTAGAGCGGTGGAAAAGCTTTGTCGAGGCGGGGCTGAGGCTCTTCCCATGCAAAAGCGTCCCACGCGATTGGCTGCAACCACCCCCAAAGAAGATTCATCTTCCACTTGTCATCTGGCCTGAGTTTATGGGTCTCATTAGTCTATCGCTGTCTCGCGAGCATGGAGTTTTACCCAGAAATCAAACAAGAGCCCGACACGTCGCCCCTGGTCATCGACGAGGCGCCGCGATGGGAGGAGGAAAAGGACGAGGACCAGAACTACTCGCCCCAACTCATGGACCTGAGCACCAAAAAGCAGCAGCAGGACAACAACAACTATTTCTTTTACGGCGCCGCTACGCATCCCGAGTCGCAGCACTGCTTCTACGAATATCCACCGCCGCACACCGACTACTATCAACCTTTGAGTTACGATGAAACTGTGGACATTGTCAGCGATGCGGATGACCAAAAGGCGAGTGTGAAATAATAAGTTTTTTATTTGTAAAAATGAAAATTAGCACATATATTAACTAGAATAACTTCATTAAAAAAACGAATAATTTTTGGTTAAAAAAGTTTAAAAAGATATAATTAAAAACTGTTTTTCGATGTTAACACAAAAATAAATCGAAATTAATATTCAATGCCATAATTGATAAATACAAAATATATGCAGCCATAAATTTAATATTTATTTTTCAAATTTAAATAAATAATGTATATGAACTTTGAAATGATAAGGTGTTTAGTTGTTTATTTTTATTTAAATTACTTATTTTTCTTAAAAATTTTAAGACAAAGAATTTTTTCCTTGATAGGACCCATTATCGTTGAAATCAAAACGAGCGCGCAGAAAATCGAGCGCCATCCGCACAGGCCCCGAGCTGGAAAGCAGCAGGGCCGTTGCCAACCACAGGGAGCGCCAACGCACCAAGTACCTGAACACGGTGCTCGAGGATTTGCGCAGGATTGTGCCGAGCCTGCCGTCGGACAAACTGTCCAAGAAGCAAATCCTGATGCTCGCAGCGCAGTACATCGAGTTCCTGAGTCAGGTGGTTCAGTGCAACCAGCCCTTTCGCGGGCCCATTTCGCGCCCCTCCAGTCCGTACAAGATCAGGGAAGAGCTGGGCTACTGCTTCAGGGTGTGGCGAATGCAAACCGAGTACCACGGAGTTGACAGCCCGCAGTGACACATTTTCAGGCAAGTCTTACAATTGGACACGTAAAAAAAACACACTTAGGAGTTTTATTAAATTTTCCTTGAAAAAATTAAAATAATAAAAGGATTTTTTTGTGGTTGGAAAGTTTTGTAAATAAAAGAAAACGTCACTATTGATTGGATTATTGGAGCATCATGAGGAAAGTTTTGGCTGTTTGGGCCAAAGCGGGCAGTAAAAAAAATCATATCCGCCTGTCTCTCACATAGTGACTAGTTTGATGCCACATGTGGCCGCGCGGCAGCTGCATTGGCCTGGGGGGTGACGAAGATTTCGTTATGTTTTGAGTTGCAGTCAAGAAGCTGCAAGTGTTCATCGCCGTTTACAAATCATAAAAAACACAGAGGCAATATATTCGCCCGTTCTCACACTGCTTGCGTTGTCACTTTGCAGATCAATGAGATTAAAAGCGCATAATCAAGATTAGATGGAAAAAATTAACATTAAGAAATTCCGAAAATTGCGTTTTAAATTGTTACTCTCGGAATTTGGTTAAGAAATAAATTGTCTCTTTTAATGCGGTAAATTTTGATGGATGTGAAGACGGATTGTTCTTTTAATCTGTTTTCAGACAAACTGTTTTAAAATATTTGCATACAAAATGTATCAAATTGCATAATCTAGCAGATAATGCTAATTATTTAAATAAATTTTGATCATATAATTCAAGTTCGCGTTTTAGAACGGATGGTCTTTTTTATTAAAAATAAGGTCAATATTATTGCATTTTTTTTATTAAAAAATAAGAAGGGAAACAAATTAATTTAAACCTAGAATTTTCTGTTATAAAACGATTAATTTATTTACAAAAATTTCGCTCTGAAATAGTTAAAATATATTTCATCAAGCATCGGGCGAATTACATACATCACCACAAATCTAATTTTATCAAATTTTGCAGGATCAAGAAGCGGTAGCATCCAGGGATGGTGCTCTGATTTTTTTCCAACACTTCAAAATGAAGTAATGTGATTTTGTAAATAAAGTATTTTGTACGATTTTTTACGCATCTCGATTCTCAATTCACACAAAAATGTCCGACAGGATGTTTTTTACTTCGATGCCCATAGTGTTTTTCTGCTCCTGAGTGAACGCCGAGGTCTGCGGATTCCGCGTGGGTCCCATTTCAATAGTCGCACACGCATTCATGGCAGCCTTCATCGAAGGCACCCAGGGGCGCAGTCCTAAAATAACAAACAGACTTAACCTAAACATTTAATAAGTTGCAGGCGCTATGGAAATGTGAGCCGCGCTTCTAAAAGTTTGAAATTTCGCTGGAATTTATACCATTGTCCGTGATGAAGTTGACCGCCTTTGAAATAGCTTCCTGCGCTTTGGCTGCTTTTTTAAAATCGCCTTGGTGCAGCAGCTTTTCCAGCTTGAGCGCTGCTTCTGGGAAAATGTTAAATGTGGTCCCGATGGCCGAAATTGAGCCCAGGGTGTACGCTGGTAGTAAAAGCTACAACAAAAATTTATTTAAAGTTAAAACAGACTGAGAGCAATTAAAATTATTATGAAAATGTGTAAAGGGAGGTTCATTTTTTTCAATTTGGATTTTATTAATAATTATTTATTTACGTCATCGCAGCCGAGGAAGACGCGGTAGTTGTTGCTGCTGAATTTCTTGATAACTTGAACGCATTTTCCCAATTCTTGCAAATCAGAGCTTGTGAATTTGAGGCCGCCAAAGGTCGGAACTTTGTTTTCAGACGCACACTTTTCTAGTAAGGCGCTCATGCTTACTAAATATATAAAATATTTATTTTTATTACTTTTTTATAATAATAATTTTTTTTTTACCATTGATACCAGTGAATCCTGGCAAGTGGTAATAAAAAAGCGGTGTCCTTGGAGCGGCGGCAGCCACCAACGCTAGGTAGTCCACCAACTGGTCGACCCCCGCTGGGCGGAAGAACAAATCGTGCAGACACATTATGCCGTCCACCCCTAGTTCCTCTGCGTGCTTCGCCTATTTATCATTGTAAAACTATTCGCTTGAAAACTGACTGTTTTATTGCTTTACCAGAGCAATCACATCTGGAAGTGGCCCACCTCCCACCTGCACCACAATTGTTTGACCCTCTGGTCGACATTTAGCCCAGGCCTCAGCCACTGCTTTTCGCTCCTCCAGGCTTTGGGCGCATCCTTCGCCCGAGGTGCCGTTTACTAACAATCAGATATTATATTGGGTCTGCCTCAAAAATGAATCATTATCAAGTAAATAATAATAATAAAAAATCCAAATTATATTGATTTTTGAGTTTATTTAATTTGAAATTAATGTATAAAATGTACTAAATTTTCACTTCAATTGGCCAAAAAATTTTATTAATTAATTCACACTATCATGTCATGAGTTATATTTATTGTTAATTGTCTAAAAAAAGTGAACTCTCACCCAATATTCCCTTGATTCCTGACGCATGCAGATATTTCGAGTAGCCAGGTACAATTTCCAGCTTCAGTTTATGTGCACTGTCAAAATTTAATTATTTTATAAACGCATTGTATTTATTTGTTTTTAAATTCGAAAATAGTTATTGAAAGAATTGAACATGTTTAAAGTAAAATTATGTTCGTGCACTTACTCATCAAATGGTGTGAAAACCGGAGCCATGTAACCATCAAAGTTTAATTTCGAACCCATCATTATTGAGCAGTAGAAAATATTTAAATATTTCTTAAAATTCACAGCTCCGCGCGCACTATTTTTTAGCAAAATCGAATATTTGTCAAAAGAAAGGTCCCGTGCAGTGGGGCTATTGTGTTGTCATTACCTCGAGCGGCCAGCAATGATAAAACGAAAAAAAATTTCCAACTCGAGAAACTGCAGTGTTTGTTATGATTCTGTGAAGGTTATCAGAGGCAAACATACGGTACAGAGTGATGCTTCTCTGCTCGAAGAGGTGGCGTTCACATTTCACTTGCCGGCACAACTGGCGCTATACAGACTTTATCTATAGCTCTCAACTTTTGACAAAGACAATTCAATTAATTCTTTAGTATTATTTTCTTAAATTTAATTATATTAATTAGGGATAACATTTTTATATCTTAATTCTTGATAACGATAAATTTTAAATCAGGAAAAATCCGGAAAATCAATGAAAAACAAAAGGTATTAAATTATGTGATATATATTTTCTTGTTAAAAATTGTCATGAATATTACATCTCATTATATAAAATTGGTAAATTATAATATATTTTGAGTTCACATGAAATTGGAGACTAAAAGCTACACATCATAGAAGTTAGTTGACTTTTTGAGCTGATAAAGTGCTCAGCAGATCGACAGACAATAAATGCAGTCATTTATTATGGAATAGTTTTTTAAACATGGCACAGAAAGAAAGGAAAATTTTGCACCATCAAAATAATATTACACAAAAATATTTAATGATATCAGCTATCTTTGTGACATTTTACAAGACAAATTTACTATCAAGTTTACTTGAAATCGACTTGTAAAGGATTAAAAAATAATATATGGCTTCTTCGGTTTTAAATTGTGGCACCTATAAACTGTATTTTTTTTTTCTTAAACCAAGTTTTGGCTGCCAATCATAGAAATTAACCTGCAAGCTTGAGGACAAATACTCTTACAAAATTAAAAAAAAAATTTTTTTGTTGAATAAAAGTATAGTCAAATTTTTGTGGCGTTGAAAACAAAGTGGTTAATATGGCATTAATTATTTAACCTCATTTCCTATTCTGGTCTCATAATATGGCCTCTTTCAAAAGTTAATAATATATTATAAACTATGGTGTTCTTATGAATCATATGTCAAATCACAAGGTTTCCGGAACTCCTGACCTCTTTCATGGATCCACTTGTTTGATACTGGAACGGAAAAATCATCAGTTTTAATTTTGCTGCCAAACTATTAATAAAATTTAGCACTTACCCCATTTGGATCCTGCAAGAACTGGGCAAGCTGCGTGTCTCGTCATATAGTCACCTTCCCCATTTGCGTGCAGATTGTACCAGAAGGCCGCACTTCCTTTCGTTGGCCAAAGAGCAACATTTAAATGTGGGAAAACAGTGGCTCCGCCTTGGGCAACGTCACTCATCTATGACATAAAATACACATGAGCTTTTAAAAAAATAGCAAATTGTCTAACTTACGTAGAAGAGGACTGTCGCAATTCTGTTTCCAGTACCCAGACTTTTGAATGCGTTTGTTTCTTCCTTCTACAAGGAAAAAAATAATATTAAACGTCAATAATAATTTAATTCAAACAATAATTTTCCATACTCTGGCAAAATCAAAGTGAGGCTCGTAGTGGCCCCCGATGCCGTAGTTAACCACTTGCAACTCTTCCGCAGTTGTGACTGTCAGTCCTGTAATCGCTTCTACCCTTTGATTTACTGCTTCCACGTGGGGGTGCTCCTCGCCCTTCAGCCAGGCAGATTTACTGATGCGGTAGTTTGCAGTTTCAAGCTCTCCCGTTTTATAATTTTGGACAGTGGCTCTTTTGAACTGACACATCAAAATGAAATTTTGAAGTAAATGATATTTTATTTTAATTACCCGAGGCTGGGCCAATTTCTTGATTGTGGCAATTTCAGCGTCATTCATCACGTCGTGCAAAATCCAAATGTTGGGCTTGTGATACGCCTCTTCCTCCTTGATGGGGGACAAAATGAAGTAAGGGTTGTTGCGAGTAGTGTAGCGGCACTTGAGTTTGGCGATCTTTGCTGGAGGGACTTCACCTTCTCCTCGGCACAAAGCTTCGTACATTTCCCGCTCAGGCAAAACATCATCGGAGGAACGTTTTTGTTTCGACGACGCCTTTTCAGTGAACGCATATTGCTAAAAAAAATTATTTAGATTTAAAGAAATAAATTTAATTCTAAGACACACTTTATCAACGTTTTCATCATCAGATCCATCTTCTCCTTTTCTTTGCTTTGCAGGCGTTGCGCTCAACGCTTGCTGGTAGTAGACCTTGTTTCCTTGGGCTCGTTGATGAGATGGAACAATTTCCAAGAGCTCGTCTGTGAGACGCAGAGCGGCTCGAACGTTTCCTTTAAAAAATTATTAATTAGCCATTTTCAAATAACTAATGAGTAGTTATATCTCTACCTTCCATGTAAGTAGAGAATGCCAAGTACTCAAGAATGTCCTCTCTTGTTGTAGTCTTGTTGGTTTCTTCGGACAGTCTGTCCAGAGCTTCATTCATCCATAAAGTTGTGTGGTAGTAGTCACCGTTGTTGTACGACTGGCGTCCCAGCTCAAAGCAGTCGCCGGCTAAAAAAAAATTGTTTTGCTATATTTGAAATTTTCCTTTTTTTTCCCCAACTCTTACCAGACATTTCAGTACTGTACTGAACGCCATTGAGTTCGCCCCTAGCAACAGAGGCTGTGTTAAGATGATAAGTGTCCTGCAGTCTCATAAGAGCCACTGCGGCTCCATTCAGATCTTCGTCGGATGGGAACTTTAAAGTTTCCCTGTATCCTGTCAGTCTATCTGTGAATTCTTCGTTGAAGAAAAATGGCTGGAGATTTTATTATTTTTTCGACATAAATTTCAAACCTTGGCCAACGTCGTCCACCATGAGCTTTTCTACATCTCTCCAGTCTGAAGTAAGTCTTTTGACAAGTAAGTAAGCGTTGATAGGATTGTTTAGGTATTTTGAGATGTCCGCACTTGCCTCTTCGTGCTCTCTTGCATATTCAGCAGCTTTTCTATAGATTTTTAGACATAAATTTAGATATATATAAACAAGTTTATTAAATGAATATAGTTTGAAAAAAAAAAATTCACCAAACTCAAAATGATCATGTACAATTCTTTAAAAAAATCACCTCTTTAGTGTGTCGACCCTTTTCTCCTGAACGTCGATGTAATTACTGAGTGTCCGCATCAGAACGGCCTCAGTGTCCAACAGCTCCTCCATCTCCACCAAAGCGGTGAAAACTTCACAATGGGCCACGGTCAGGCATGAAAGGACTAAAATACTTGCAGAAAGCTTCATTCTGAAAAAAAATAATAATAAATAAATAAATCCTTAATCCTTGTACTTATAGTTTTATAATAATTATAATCTTTATCAAAATAAAATTTGTTTTAAAAAAAATATTTCCGAATAATTTTTCCTAGTGTTAAATTCAGAAGTTAAATACTGACTAAGTTATTAATTCTGTTAAATCTATTAATGAAAAATTATACGTATAAAAGTGATTTTATTTTACGCCAAACTGTAAAAATTAATTTTAATTTTTGCTGCTCTCTTTAATTTGCCAAAGTTCTCGAAATTTTCCAGACTGTCCCATCATGAAATATGTAAAGTTTTGGTGCAAAAAAGCTAAGCCAAGCTTGGCTGTTTTATGCTTGATGAGGAGATTATCCCACACCTTAACCTTGGGCGGCACGTTCATTGGACTCTGTGCCATAAATATAAGGCAATATATTTTATTTCACCTTTAGATACTAAAAACAACTGTATTATTTGATAAATTGAAAAATTATAGAAAGTTTGAGTTTTGGAAAACTTTCAACGGGAAAATATCAAATTTTTAATTGACTAAAAAGTGCTGAGTTGGAGATAAAATATATTTAAGAAAAATAAAAGCATCCCCTCTTGATACATACGCGTATGCCAAGTGTTTGGTGCACAACCGGTCAAGGCTCTCCGCAACCTTCAAACTTTGACGCTCGTTGGACACTTGGTGTCTTCACTTGCAGGCCCGACGTTGTTGCTCAGACGACAGACGTCTAAGTGATCCTCCGGCAATTTGTAAAATTTTAAATCTTCTTAAAAAAGTACACAAGAGATGTACCAAGGAGATGTACAGCGAGAAACAACGTGAAGGAGTGAAAATAGAGAATGGCGATTGGAGAATATTGCTCTGCGTTGCTAGCGCCGCCAAACGCCATTTACCATGAAGCTCCCAACGCAGTGGTGAAAAAAAAACAATTAAAAAAACAAACGCTAACACCGGTCTTGACACGCTGACAGATCATCAGCAGATTGTTCATCTGATCTGTGTTTGCGCACATTTAAAAAAAAAGTACTAACATTAAAAGTAAAATTTTCTAGAAGTTTAATCAAAATTAGATGTGGTTTGTAATTAAAACGTTGACAAGAGTAATTTACTTTAGTAATTTTACATTTTAATTATTATCCATAACATAGTAAACATTCAATTACATTTTCTTTCCCTACTAATTTACAAGCAGGGCCGTCATAACATTTTTTAATAGTTAAGGCTAATAAGTTTTAATGGTTATCTGGGAAATTTTGCTCCAAGATCAGATCAAACAAGAGTTGAATGCAGCCATTAATTGTTTTCCTTGCAAAAAAAAGAGTCTGCAAACAATTTCAGATCTTGCAACTTGGAAGGTAAAACTGCATTTCATCGGGTGTCTGCTTCAATAATATGTGGGGAAATTTATGTACTTTATAATGTGCAGAATTCCTCAACGCTTAAAAAGAACAATCCAAATTGGAGCTTATTTAAACTAAAAAGTGCCAGAGCATATTGTTTTGCACGTTTATATTAGAGGCGCATGCAATTTGGTACCTCAAGATTTAATCAAGAGCACAATCAAACTAAAAAATTAATCACAATAAGACTTAAATTCACTGAGTGAAAAACTGCCCAATTTCTTAAAATTTTGCATTACATTTGTGATTATTTAAAATCCTAATTTACTTTTTGAAACCGCTTAATGAAATATAACCATATTTAGACCAATAAAATATTTATATCATTTAAATGAGTGAATTGGTCAGTTCTTCTTTTGATTCACATCATCTCTTGATCGTCAACTTAAAGTAACATTATTCAAATCAAATTTCCACTCGGCTGTTTTAAAATCATGGTTGAGTGGCAACCGAATAAAATTAGCTGGTCCTCTTGCACTGTCGAGTGTTACCTTGGATCACAAACTATAGTTGGAAATTTACAAACACAGGCTATAATAAAATGTCACTTCTTAACCCTCCTCTGTACCTGCTCGTCTAGCAGTTATTAAAAAAAACTTTAGAGTATCAGCAGTTAATCCTTTGCGATTTCTTCGGATATCCACCAATTTGATGGGCTGGCACTTGTCTATTCATCTGCCGGCTCCAAATTTTGTCCGTTTAACAGGACTTCCTCGGCCTCTGCTCTGTTATGAACTGGAGCATTCGACTCATTTAAGACTTCATTACTATCGGGCGGTGCATTTTCTAAAAAATTTGTTTCGTTTAATTAAATGCAAACCAATCTCTAGTTAAAAATTACCAGCTGATGTGCCTTGTGTGCGGCAAGTATTGTAAGATCCACAGTGTTGGCATTTAAGTCCAACGACGTGAAATTTGACTGTACTCTCCTGTGATGATTTTGATGTTAATTAATGAGTGAAAAGAGCATAATTCAACTTACCTTGTGACAATCTTTGCACAAAATCCCAACAAAACATTTGTTGTAATCTGAAGGCATGGGTGTCAATTCTACCTCATGATCTAGATACTTCCACAGCTGTAAAAAATTTAAAATGAATATTACCATTGATTTTTTATCAAGATCCAACTTACTTCAGTCATGTCCACCATTGACTGCTGACACGTAGGACATGCGTAGAGACCCGATTGAAAGAGATCCTTAAAACAAGTTCTGTGCACGAGGTGTCCACACTCCGGAATGTGGCACGGAATCCTAGAAGTGTGGATGTCTTCGAGACACACAGGGCAATTGGCCCGAGAAACGTTCTCTACGCACTGTTGAAAATAAAAATTAGAATTTTCTTCACTTTGAAATTTTATATAAATACCTTGTGTTTGTTCAGAAGCTTGTTGGGAAGGCACATGTTGCAGCGCTCGCAGTGGAAAAACTGGTCCCTGCCTCCAATTCGACATATGCCACAACCATCACAGTGGTATTGCTTTTTGTCTTCGTCGTCAAACAATTTGCACTCCAAGCAAGTATACTGAAATTTAAGTCAATAATAAATTATTACTTTCATATTTTAATCAAAAAAGATTTTTCTTTTGTTTTTGAGGGGTCGCTCAAGAGGCTTTCGTACTTAATTCCTTCTTAGTTTTTTTTTGTTATTAATTATCGGAAATTTTATTTGATCGACCCTCATCTTAATTTATTAAAAAAGTAAAACTTAAATTCTCACCTTGCCAAACCTGAGCGAGCACTTGATGCATTCGGTTCGAACTGGCTGACGAGTGTTGCAACTGGTGCAAACTAATTCTGTCACATCCTTCCGATTCACAGGGTGCGTTTCGTTCTCGTCATGACAAAATCGGCAGGTGTAAACTTTGCCGCAGCAAGGCGTCTGCAACGTTACATTATAATGAAGGTCAGCAAAAAAGAATTGCTTCATGTCTGTGGGGGGAAATAGATTGTAATAATGAAGTAATTCATCTCAAGTTTTCAATGCAATCAAGTCGAAAACCTTGTTAGACCAGCTTTATTCTAATATTAAAAAAAGACAATTAAATGATGCATCATATTATGTGTATGACGCATGAAATTTATTTTTGTAAAAAAAAAATATTCCAAATAAGGAAAAGCTAAATATTTCTAGATTTTTTCAGTAAATTTCCAGATCAGTGCATATTTGTGTTGCGACTTTGTATTTTTTATTATTTTTTTTATTTTAGTTAAAAGCTTGTCAGAAACTTCAGCAAGGACATTCCTTACATTATCAGCAATTATCAGTCGCTGCGTTATTTTGTCATGTTGTACATTTACGGCATTCCCCGGCCGTGCATCCTTGTAGAAAGTGAATGAATTAACTTTGCACGTCATATTTGGAACCCCAAAATCAATGCTTGGCCATCAAAAATATAATCAATCGGCTATGATCCCTAAAAAATCATGGCAGATTTCATCACAAAATCTAGACTTATGTAAATTTAGAAATCCCGTAAGGAAAATGAGAGATCACTTAATTTTGTTTTGATGGCAATTTTGACGTGCACAAAAAGAACGAGCAAAGCATGTTTAGGTCATGTTTGCGCTTCTTTTCGAGATTTTAAGCTTAAGTACCCTCGTTTGATTAACTAACATTCTCGACAAATTTGCTGAACACGTATTAAATAATTAAAAATTTGCACCTTTTCATTGCACAACGACCGAAGAATAAAAAAGGAAACCCTGATAGTGGGAGCATAAGTTGCACCGTGTGTCTGAGACTTCAGAACCTGCAGACCTGGCAACGAAAATTGTCTTCTGATTCGGATACATTACACATTGAGGTTTACGGGTGCATAAAAGTCAAAAAGTAATTTCATACCACAAATTTTGATCTCCTTTTGTAGTGCGGACAACCCACGACTGCCGTCTCGTCCGACATTTCTACTCGGATCGTCGGATCTCTTTTCGCTTATTTGCATTCGTTCCTCAGTTCTCCCTTGGTGGCAGTTCAATCGTCACACCGCTGATGAAAAAGCAAACTTGTAATAATGACCTTGTAATAATGTGTCTATAGTCACAGTCACAAATCACGTTTAAAATCTCTATAATTTTTATTAGTTTCTTGAATTGATGAATCGTATTTCTTTATAGAATTTTGCAACGTCTGCAATTTTTTGTCTAAAGTATAACTCAAAAGCTTAAATCTTAAATTTTTGAATAAAAATTGTACTCTCTTTAAAAACTGTTATACCACGAAATCGCTTTTTGGGGTGGGGCGACTCACTCACCTCTCCTCCCGTTGTGAAACAAGCAAACCTCTTTGGCGGTTTTTAAAAGTGCCTTTACGCCCCCCACCACCACCACCACTTCGAGGTCCTCAAACATGTCGAAAAGAGGTAAGTTGGAATTTAATTTTTAATCTTCGTTCATCGGTGATAAACTTAACGGAATCTTAAAAGTAATTACAGATATGGATACCTTAATATCAAAAGATTGCTAACCTACATTTATATTTTTACCGTGGACGCATTTAAATGTAAAATTGGTCAAAAGGGAGAATGTCCCGGCGCCCACAATATCTCGTGCCACATGGATTAGATGTGTTGTTATTTTGAATTCGTGCGGCCGTGCGCCACGATTTTTTTGGATTTCTCAGATTCTTTTCAAATCTTCAAGCTTGAAAATTGTCAAAATTGCAATTGGCGTCTGCTTTATGAAAATTTGTTAAATGCCAGCTCAAGACCTGCTTTGTTTACATACAGTTTACCTGATGGTGTCAAATAATTTTTGGAACTTATATTCCTATTTTATCGTATTTGACAAAAGCAAGCCTACTAATGGACTTATTTAAAAATCATTTTGTTTATAATTATAAGATCAATCATTTAATTCTATAAAATTCTCAATAAAAATTTTCACTGTTGTGAGTTTCTGATTGAAATGCCAATGGGTTATACATATAAACACGCGGCTTTTTCTAGTTTTATTTCTTATTAATTTATGATTCCATTTGTCGAATTTTCTCTTAAAATTCACCCACGGAACTATAAACATCTCATTTGACCAAAATTGTGAACTCTTTTGTTTTTTTAGGAAGAGGAGGATCGGCGGGAGCCAAATTTAGGATTTCCTTGGCCTTGCCAGTGGGCGCTGTCATCAATTGCGCTGACAACACTGGTAAAATTTTTTACAATAAAATGATCGTAAATAGTTACAAATTTCATAAATTTCCAGGGGCCAAGAACCTTTTCGTCATCGCCGTTCAGGGAGTGAAGGGCAGGCTGAACAGACTTCCTTCGGCCGCCGTGGGTGACATGATCGTTGCCACAGTGAAAAAGGGAAAGCCTGAGCTCAGGAAAAAGGGTAGGTTTGGAAATCTGTTGCGTAAAATGAAGTTGAAATCAAATCCAACTAATAATAGTGGTTTACTTGATTTCTGTCATTGCTCTATAATTTTAAATTAATTTATTTTTACAGTAATGCCTGCCGTGGTCATCCGGCAAAGGAAGCCGTTTAGGAGGAAGGACGGCTCATTTATCTATTTTGAAGACAATGCAGGAGTAATTGTCAATAACAAAGGGGAGATGAAAGGGTCTGCGATCACTGGACCTGTGGCGAAAGAGTGCGCTGACCTTTGGCCACGTATTGCTTCAAATGCAAACTCTATTGCTTAAGTCTGTATGTCTCCTTTAAAATTAAACAAAAACCTGCAAATCTTGGATTTGATTAATCTCTAGTTCCAGTAAGTGAAACTGAAAAAAAAAACTAAGCCACAATCAAAATAATTTGATATTATTAAAAAAATTAGAAGTGATGAATCTAACTAAGCATTGAAGAGATAATTTTTTTAAGTCATTTCTATTGATTGAGATTCCAATGAGGAATGCCATGTTTTATAAAAATGGATATTCCTTAAGAAATAAAGCTTGGAAATTATTATGCCCAGAAAAGGTTTAAATTTATGTCAAGTATAGATGTTTGCATAGGAGCCGAGTTTTATAATTATACCCTCATAAAAATAATAAGCAAATTTTAATTTTTAGCGAGTGTTCTGTTTGAGCACAACTATACTTGTGTGTACTTTATCAGATAGTACAAACAAATCAAAAATACCATATTTTGTTGTGAATCGCAAACATCAAAAGTTACGATATTTGGGATATTATGATGTTTGGTTTGAACAAAACAATTTATAAAAATGATCTATCGCAATAGAACTGTAGGGGTAACTTTTTAATATTTATTCCATTTATAATTAAATATTTTTCATCCATTGATAATCAGTTTAAAAAAAAACCTTTTTAAAGACTCATTAGTGTAGTTTTTTTTATCAATGAAAATAATTAAAAGAGAAAAAATAAACTGAGGCAGCTCATATTTATGTTTATTTTAAAAAGAATGGATTGACTTTGTCCAGCTTATAAATGTATGTTTAAGTTTTTTTTAACAAATCGACCAAGTCGCTGTTATGCATATCGGATGGTCGTGCATAATTTAAAGGGACAGGTGGTGGATCGGCGTGCATTATCATTATTATTGCGGAGGTGCACGCCGGCGGGGTGGCACCGGCAGCAACCCCGTGCGCGTGGTGTGTATCGCATAGATGGGTGAGTCGCGTGTCGCGCCAAATCGCACGGCCACTGCTTGGCGAGCGGACGGACATCTTGCAGAGTGCACGCACGACACACACAGAAAGAGCGACTTGCCTGCCCCTCTCTCTCTACTCGCCAAGTTGCCAACTCTGCTGCTGTAGCTGCGAGAGAGCGCCGGGCGGGCGAAGGAGAGGTAACAGGGAACGCCATTCGTTCACTCTCACAACGTTCATTAGTAACGAGTGCAGGCAGGACCGGAGAAGAACTGTGCGCGGTGTTGATTTAGTGCCAAAGTGATCGAATTTTCAGCTGTCCAGCCCGCGTCCGGGGCCCGAATCGCGTGCCCACGACTCGTACGAGTGTCCGAGTGGAGTGTGTCAGTGTGTGTGAGTGAGCCGGAAGAGCCGGACGGCGCCGATCGCAGATCTCAAAGGTGAGCAACCGATGCTCTCGATTTTTGTATGCTCTCCTCGGACGGACCTATCGTTTTTCCTTCTTCCGTGACTGCCGCCCGTGGGTAACTCGCTAAGCTATGCGTATGCTAAGCTGCTCTCTCCGCTACCGAATTTCATTATTATTATGATATTATTAAATTTGTTTCGTCTCGAACTGCGCGTTTGTTTTCGCGATTATGTTTTTTTACGGCGGGATTTTAAACGATTGGGTTTTAATCGCCTTGTTTGTAAACAAGGGGTGTTTAAATTGAAAGTAATCGACTTGTGCGATTCAGGTCTCGGCTGATTTGCGAGTTTTGCCCTATTTCGAGTCTTGGACTTAAACTTGGTAACTTTGTTTTCGACTGAGAAACGCCGCAATTCAAGGGCGTTCAAATATTAGCCCGGCATATTGTTTTTCCGCGTTGAGGTACAATTGCAGACGCACGGTTCGCTGCGATGGAGGCGAAAGACAATCGCCGTTGCGAAATCAATTGGATGAGTAATAAAACAATGTTCATTGCATTTTGCGTCATTGAGTGCGGAATTTGGGTTTTTGGTCAGAACGGTCTTAGACTGATAATGAAAACTAATGAGTAAATAATCTGCCAGGTCAAATCAGAGATTTATTATTTTTGCCCAAATATGCAATTTGTTCATGTAAACAATTAAATCGTTATTTATTTCTTCGAAATAATTGTATTTAAAATTTAATGTTCGTTATAGACTGGACTAAAATTTTTCTTGACCTTGCCGTTGTTGGTTCACAGCTGTGAAATCGTTAAATTCAATTGATTTATTACAATTTGGTTTAATTTTGTCTCGCTAGTTAATTGATTGCATATTATATAATTGGTCAATTCAAAATTTAAAGAATGATTTTCTAACAATAATTTAATAAAATCAATAATTCAAACCATGTTTCTCAATTGAAAGGTTATTTTAGAATTTGCAGTCTTAATAAAAATTAAATTTTAAGTTTATCGTTCCTTTTGCATTTATAAACACTAAATTGTTAATGCTGCCTGTTATCAAACTAATTATGCTCCTTTTTAGATAACCTGGTGACACACTTATACAAATTAGGTACACCGTTAAAAAAAGTAAATCAACTTAACGCCTAATGCATTTATCTTATAATTGATAAAGGATATTTTTTCTTTTTTAAATTTAATGAATTCAAGCAAAATCATCAAAACGCAGTAGAACTTGATTTAATTTATTTATAATTCTCTTTATACCAATAGGAAGGGTGATCTTGATGTTGAACCACAAGGAATTTGCAGCTGAATGCATTTTTTGCACATTTGTCACCGCCGATAATTAATATTTGAGGAAAATATTTGCAAGACCATAAAATGCACCCTGAGGTGTTCGCCTACAACCTCTCTACATAAAAACGTGCAATTTTACGACGCCATCCGTGTCCTAACACTCAAGACGGCGCATCACCCTCCAGCACAATCTCACACACTTCTAGCGCTTCAAACGTGCACATAGCAAATACTCTGACAAAGTGTTTGCATTAATTAATCAAGCCCTAATTTTTTAATTAAATCATTTACCAAAATTAAACGAATAAGAAATTTATAATTGATTAAATAACGTATTTGGGGATGGGGTGAAAACCAAAATTAATTTATAAATAATAAAGCTGGCAACCCTTTGAAGCAAGAGCAGTAGCAGAAATTAAAAAATTTTCATCAGAGAGTTCATATCATGAGGGGGGAGATTAGTCGATCGGAAATACAGGCGAAGTATAGGTGAAGATGATAATTAGGTCTGACAAATTTTTTTTAATGATTACTTACTTATCAGTCCAATTTCGATAGGTTTTGAGTGGCCCCTTTGATTGAGAAATTTCAGGATTAAAAATTAAATCGATTCCAACTTGATTCTCTCCTTGAGCCCCAGCTGCAATTGCCATAATATAAGCCACAATATTTAAAGGTGAAACAGAGTGGTTGAAACGACAATTATATTTAGCATATATAAGGAATCGAACTAGATTTTATTTCTAAATTCGCAACCATGCAAATTTTGCAATGGCACAGCAATCAAGGACGAAAGTGCATCCTGTGTGTCCGGCGGAACATTGATCGCGGTTGCAGCCACTTCTGCAACACCACGATTGTAATATTCGTAATATTATTTGCACATTGGTTTTCTTTGTTAGTCAAGCGACGCGCGGAGACATGGCGGCGCAGCACAGGCCAGGGGAAAACCGTGCGGGCGATCGGGTGAGAGAGCGAGCGAGCGAGCCGGCGCGCGCAATAATAATTTCGGCAGAAAATTATCATTTATTAGAGGGCGGGCGGGAGGTAGCCGCGCGCTAACTAAAATGGTTGCAAAGAGCGTGTGTGTGTGCAACTGCTGGGCTGGCTGCTGCTGCTGTGCTGGTGGATACTAAATACATAACGCTGAGGGATCAATGTTGTATTGTTCGCCCCTTCGACTGACTCACACTCCCCTGCGTTTTTCAGCCGGCTCTTCATAAAAACGACGACGTATCTCATTCCTTTCCTCCTTCCACCGACCGCACTCATGCAAATTTAATTATCTTAAGGCCTTCCTTTTGAATTCACTCGCCACTTTATTATATTGTTAGTTTGGGAAAAACGAGTTGTAATAATAAATAGGCCGCCGCAGAGAGACGGGCTGCTGCTCTCAGGGGTGCTTTTAGATATAGTCGCTATTAAATTGTGACGGCTGATGTTTGAGTTATTGAATTCTCATTAAATGGTCAAACTAATCAAGTTGAATGCTGGAAAGGGCAAAACTTATTATAATTGTATTCATTACTGCAAAAAGGTGGTGTTCTTACAACAGCTGAAAGGGATTTTTATTTGCAATTCAATTTTTTTTTTTTTTTTTTTTTTTTTTTTTTAACAAAATTAGCGAAGAGGAAGAATTGCATTACCGGTCTGCTTGAAAAGCTGCAAGTTTTATGAGCTAAAAGCAGCTGTCAGGAGAGTTGGGTTTATTGCCTAAATCAACTTAATTATTCTTTATTCTTAACTTTTAAATTAACTTACTGACTGATTTTTACGTAGTAAGCAAAATATTCTTTTTTGTTGAAGCAAGAAATTTTAACCAATTTATTTTTTGAGAAAAAAATGTTAAAGATCATTAGGCTGTTTTATGAAAATTTGGTAGCAAGCCTAGACCTTTGTAAGCTTTTCCCATTTTGCTAGTTAGGTTCAAATTATTGTTTTTGAATGAAAGGAAATAAATAAAAAAAAAATGCTCATTATTTTTAAGTACAAAAGTATAATGTGCATACAATTAATGTTAAAGGGCAGTTTGAGTCCTGAATAACTTTTACATAAAAAATAGTGATTAATTTTTCGTGTTACTTTTTTCATAAAAAAGAATTCTGGAATTCCCCAAAAATAATATAGGGAAATTGCAAATAGCAATTTCCTGGTACCTTTCCGGGTCTATATTTATTTGATCCGAGCACTAAAAATATTGCACCAGCCCTCTGAAAACTTCTCTGGGCACACAACAATTGTAACTTCCAGCAGATTAAAACAATAACAATATTATTTGGTTGTTTTCAATCAATTCTTTACAAGAGGGAAAATGCCTATAAATAAATTTGATGTTTCAAAGGAGGAAAAATAATGAAATTCAAACAAAGCAAAAATCTGATAATGAGGAGATGCATGAAGGGAGACTAATGTGGAGGAGTTTGCGAGAATGAATGGACGCCGAGTGGGCTGGTGGGAAACAACAAAGGCACGGACCGACGTATGTTTTATTTTTTCCGGAGCGAATTATTCAAAATCAATTGGTGATCTGGGCTCGGCAGCAGCGCAGGGTGGATAATCAGTTTGCAATAGTTCCCATTTTTTCCGTCGAACGCGAGGGTGGCGAGGTGTAATTTGGGTGCACTCCATGTGCGCACGCCGAACGAAGACGCAAATGAATTTTCCGCAATCAATTTATGGTGCGCGCGAGCAGCGGGCAGCGGAGAGACGAGATGCGCCATTAGAGCCATTACTCGCACGGCCACGCTCATATTTATAGAAATTTTTGTGCCGCATCTCTGTGTCGGTCGGTCGGGCTGCGAGTGGTGCCGCCGCCGTTGTCTACACAGTAATAGGCGCTTTTTTGGCGAGATGATGGAACAGCACTACTTTGAGGTGAAGCCGGGGGAGGCGGAGGGGCAGCTGACGTGGAGAGCAGGCGGGCGAGCTGCTCGCCAGAGAGAGAGAGAGAGAGAGAGAAATATATGTTTTTTCTGTATTATTTGAAAGGACGCACAGCGCGCGCTCGCGAGAGAGAGAGAAGAGAGTTGCCATGACGATATTCCTTTTTTATTCTCTTTCCTCTTCTCCTCTTGCCGAGCCGCCGCCGCTGCGATGTCTGAAACTCGATTTGATGCCGCTCGCCAGCCAGCAGCGTATCATCAATATCATAATCCGCCAAGATTAGACCCATGCGCAATCGCCAAATTGCAAGCCCTGCACTCGCAATTATACACGCACCCGACCGACATGAATGACATTCCAAACTGTGCAATCGTAATAGACGAAGCAGAAACAAGCTGAAGCTGATCCAATCTTTTGTCAAGAGAATGTAGATGGATTGATCCAATCTGAGGAATTAAAAGAATAGTCTAGATTTATATTAATCACAATTGTCTTGTCCAAATTTTTTTTAAGGGGTTGATTTAATTTTCTTGCTAAAAAGTGCAGTTCATAATATAAAATAATTGAATTATATAATGCTTGACCTATAAAATCCCAATGAATTTTATGAGATGAATAGAAAAACTCGCAATCTTTTTTGAAATCATTGACATTATTTTTATTGAATTGGCCCTTATAATTTAAATTTGGGAGTATTTGCGTAAAAGAATCGATCGATCTTATAGAATATTCTGGTAGCCTCTATTCCCAGTCTTCATATTTTGCTCCACAAAATACCCAATTATAGAAGCTGTTTTGCTTCAAGAGTCCAACAATCCGTAACAATCAAACAACTCCTGAATTTGAATATGATAAGAACAAGTCACTTGATATATTGAGTTATTTTGGGTGAAATTCTTTTTTCTTCTTTTTGATTTCATAATTTGATTTGTTACTTGTCACAAATTAATTTTCGCTGAAAAATTTTACATGTATCATACTTTAAAAACGAGTATTTTTCAATCTCAAAACAGTAAGATAGAAATTAACATTTGGATAAAAAAATTGTAGTCGTGATTAATTAATTGTTTAATTGGAGGTATTTAGAATCAGGTCCGGCTCTCAACAGGTACAGCAAGAACATTCCTTATATAGTGGCTGAAAAAATTTGTGTAATAAAATAAAAGTACTGCTTATATATTATTACAGTTCTGCTCCAATTAAATTGATATTAAATTATTTCATTTGAAACAAATTACAAGTTCCTATAGCTACACCAAATTAAATTAAAAATGGCATTATTTCAACAAAATAAAATTAGAATTTCATATTAGAGGGCCTTGGAATTGAAAACCAATTATTCATGGTCTTGCAGATGTCTCCTCATTTGAATAATAACGTTCATCCTTAAATTGAACATTGGTCTGCAAATGAGTCGGAATCTTGAGAAGTTTTAAAAAAAATAGGAGCAAAATACTTATTTTTTACATTCTCAAATGTTCAGTAATCAACATTATCTAATCTCTATACATTTTCTTGAGCTATTTCGCTGCAGCAATGAATCTGGGTGTAAAATTTTACATTCTTCTCTCTCCACTCGAGTCGAATTTTAGACACCAAGGTTGAGTGAGCAAGAGGTTTGCCCTGGTTATTGTTGCTACACGCATCGTCCGCTGCCACCGCCGCGCGTTATGTATGTACCGTTTTCCTCCTTCACTCACACGCCGTGTGATTGTATGATTTTTTGGGATGCAACACAGCGAGAGAGCGTCTCTTTTTTTCCTTTCCTCGTCATAATGCAGTAGGCCGAGTGAGCGTAGGCAGGGGGGATCAGGCGGCTCGAAATTATTCCCACAGCTGCATATGATTCGGCGCCCGCCAAAGGAAGCGAGGCAGATTTTCGTATATAAAGGTACGCATAAGCATCGCGAGCCGTCGCGTCACTCTCGCACACGTCTGCCGGTGCCAGCCAGCCCAGCAGCAACTGTTCGAAAACCGTCTCGAGAAGCGACTGCTGCGGCCACATTTTTTTAATCACAAAGGCGGCGATGCTGCTGCTCCGCAATACCAAGGCCATAATTTTATGATTCGCAGCCACTCGCAATTGGCACGCACCTTTCGCCTCGACAGCTTCACTTTTGCACTGCTGCAGGGCTAAAACGGCCAGATTAATGCAAACAAGGTAGCTTTGACGGCAATTAAACAAATTAATTAATCACTTGGCTTGATAACATTTTTTCCCAACACCTACGCTAATAAAACTTAAATACGGTATAATTATGTGTTGAGTGAACTGTGAAGTATTTCTTGCTAATTTATAATTTTTATTTTCCTTTCATCTATTTTATTAATGAACTATTAATTTCTAGTTCCACACATTTTTTGTATCTGCAAAATGTAGTAACTCTGATAGGGGATGCGTCCCTTAACTTCCATCGACCATATTTTGAATTTTTAAATTAATTTATTTATTAATTATTTATATTATCCTACAATTTTTTTATTTTTGTAATATTTGATATAACATTACAAAAGGGGATGAAATTATTGAAGTTTAATTTTATTTTATTTACAAAATAAATTTAAAATTGTCATTATTTTAGATGTTTTATTGCCAATTACTTACTAATTATCAATGTAAATTATTTTTTTATTCTTTTAGTAATTTGCTTCTTCAATTATGCCTCTTTTTAAAGTTATGCATACAAAAATAACTTATCAAAACATTACCACAAAATTTTAATGTAATGATTATAAACTTATTAATTTATGCTAATATATTTAAAAGTTCGGTTTCATCTATGGATTTTTTAATCGTTTAATGTTTGAATGTAAAAAATTTATTTATATTCAATTATTACTAAGCACTGCTCAATGAAATAACAACTTTATAGTGCTTAGTATTCAAGATTATGATAAAACCTGTTTTGTGGTATTGACTAATTTGGTTGTTTTGATAAACATTTACAAGTAAAATAAACGGACAACTCACGCGGCGATCAAAGAACCATTTGCCAGGCCCTTTTGACGATATCAACGGCCAGATAATTAAGCTGCTGAAAGTGGGCTCGATCGCAATCTGACTGATTCCCGAATTTGAAATTAACGTTTTCGTCGCAGGAAGAATGGTTCGTTTAGCGTGGAGGGGCGTTTAATTATCGAGATTTTGGGGAGCTTAGTCGCGAATCTGCTGCGAGCTGCATGACAACTGTTGCTATCTAACTAAATGAGCACACACATGACTAACAATAAGTAGTACCGTGCACGAGGGCTCGTTACTTTATCGCGGATGCTTTTGTCTTAATTAATTTCATAGTCAGATCTGTACACAAATTAACGTCATTGCTGTTTTGCTAACGTCTGCATTTTTTATTATGTTTGCAGATTTGCCCGTGACGCACGGAAATAATATGAGGACCTTGGCGTGATTTATTAGTAAGTATTAAAATTAAAAAATGAGATTTTTGTCATTTATTCCATATTTTTGGTTTAATTTTCAATTCTTGCCTTGTTGCAATTCCGGATGTTCAAAATATAGGGCGCACCAGTTTGAAATAATTAAAAATTGTATTATAAGATTAATACAGACAAAGTTTTTGTTTAACTTTTTAAATATATCTTATCATTTTTCAGGTTTGAAAATTTGATCGAATTACTACCATTAGGTGTGCTAATGCTAACACATTTTTATAATATCTGAAATTTTGTTATTTTTCCTCTTGTTCTGCTCTTGTTATAATCAAATCTTTTTATGAAAGGAAAAGGCTTTGTACAATTTTAAATGGTTCTCCCGGATTCTCCAATTGATAATATTTTTTCAGTTGACACTCAAAGTATTTGGATATTTTGGATTCGGAATTATTTTAATAGTTTTAAATTGACACAATCATATTGAGGATGAATAAGAATAACTTCAAATCGAACTGGAAAACAGAGCTTGGTGCTCTTTATTTTATGACGACCAAATCTCACAATCAGTTCCATAAAGTTTAAAAATTGTAGATTGTGGTTTGCTTATTTGAGCCTGCGATTTATCTACTACCGGTCCGTACTGTGCTTGAAGAAATCTCGCCCGTGCGTCCAAAGTGATAAGTGACTTAAAATGTACTCTTTTCCTTTTGAACTAAATATTCTGTGCGGTCAACCACGGCCAGTAGAAGCCATTGAAAGCTATTTCCACGGCGCTCTTTTCCGCCTTCGAAATTTCCTCCTTATCATATAAGCAAAAAATTCGGATCGATTTGAATTCATAAAATTTCCGTTCCTCATTGTTTTATGACAATTATTGTACTCAATGTCATTTTAAAGTGACATTGCGAAATTTAACGGTTTAAACAGTCGCACTTGTTCTTATTGTACGTATTGTGAGCTCCACTTCAAAGGGTCCGCGAAAATCAATTAGACCTGGTGTTTGTTCAACTGCAGCTCCCGCTAAGACCGGGTTTAAGAATTACTTTGGGATGAATGAAAGACAGAAAGAAAGTTTTGAAGAGCCAAGGGGATTGAAGGCTCGATTGGGTGCGTGAATTTTTTGGCGACGCGCCGTAATCTTTCCATAATTATACGATTGCACAGCAGCGCAGGACGATATCAGAGGGCCTCTCTTATTTTGTCGAGGAGGACGCCAGTTGGCAGTGTTGTTGGCTGGGTTAGTCGCTGCTTTCTACGTATTGATTGCGAGCCCTCCCCCCACCGCGGCGGCCCGCTGTTCTCTTCTCCCGATGATTAATTGTCGCAGTACACAGCGCACCTAGAGTTTTGCTGCCTCTTTCGCTCCGCAGTTCACTCGCTCGCCGCGGCAAAGCCTTTTCCGCCGCCGCCATTCGCCTGTCCGCGTCAACTCCTCTGCCGTACAACTGTGGAAGCTCCTCTTAAAAAACTAAAAAGCGTCCATAATATCGCATGCCGGCAACCCCTTCCTGCTTCTTCTTCTCAAAGGCACAACACCCTGCGCTCAATTATCCCACGCCGAACTCTATCTGCCGCGCGCTTTATTGATTGTCGCCGATTACACGCGCAGATAGAGAGACAGAATCGGTGTCGGCCTATGAATATTTAAAACAACTTCACCTTTGATTATTTTCTCAAGTTTCTGCAATTTTGCATGAAGCTTATTTCTTGAATATCTTAAAATATAAAACGTTTATTATCAAAATTATCAATAAGAGACTGTTTAAAAATTGCAAAAATTTTAACGCTTTCTAAAAATTGTTTCATGATTTGCTAATTAAGACGAAATTGCTTGAAACCGCATTTGATTAAGTGCTAAACGGGGTACAAGGGAAACAGCAAAAGCCCCCTCAACAATTAGCGAGAGATAATCAACGTGCGGCGGCACACCCGTGCGTGCCTGCCTGTGGTGGCTCGCGAGAGTTGCGAAACGTCTCCTCTTTCTCCCTTTGTTCGAGCTGCCCATGTTTCAGGAACTTGTTCCGAAGACATGCAAGTTATGGCGCAACTTCAACGCTCGTAAATTGTAATTTATATTACCGATGATTAATTAACAATAATTGATTTTAACACTTCGTACAAAAAGCAGCGTGTTGGATAATTTTAAATTTAATGCTGTTATTTTGTTTCAGAGATCGGCGAGATGGACAAGGACGGGGGCAAAGAGTCCAGAGGTGGGTCCTCAAAGGACCACCATTTATCCATGTCTCACATGCCCCCAGGGGCATCCCCTAATCTTCTTGACAGCCTATTTGGTGAGTGCTTTTCATAACCTCTTAGTCAATATTTATTTTAATGGTTTGATAATTATTTGCGTCGTATCTTATCGATATATTACAAGTTACATAAAAAATTATTTACAAAAAGATCAACTGTTGCGTTATATCCACCCGACAAACTATTAAAATATTAAATTTATTCGAATAAGTATTCGATACATCTCAATTCCTGTTGATAAAAGTTACACTATTGAGGTTAAAAAAACATTATAAGTCCTTTTAAAATAAAACTTTATTCTTTTCAACTCCGTTGCAATGAAATTTGCATACTTCAAGAAAGTTTGCTCTCAGAATATATCAGTTTGCTTAAGCACGGCTTTTGTTTATTTTTTCAGGCTTTTTTTTAAATACCATGCTTTACAAACTTTGCTGAACTTGCAAAAACGTCGCAGATTAATTCATTCGTCACGCCTATATAATTATTAAATTCAATTCAATTTCAACCGATAGAGAACACATGCAAAACACAATCTCGCGAAAAGCACTCCAGTCAAGTCGCGATCAATATGCAGATAGGGATCGTACAAGAAAACGATTCTGCCGTGGCGCTCGCTGGCTCTGTTGACACAAAAGCACGCGTGGTTTCGAAATAACGTCGTTAACGAAGGCATACGTCCAACACCTACGCGCGGTGAAAAGGAAAAGACGCGGCTTTAGAATTGGACGGAAGTTTTAATTATCAAGCGCGCACCCCTTTTCCGAATTGTTGGCAAATCTCCTGCTCGTTCTCCGTTGGCGAGCAATATTTTAAAACGCGCAGAAGAGGGGACGCTACATTGCGTGAGTGTGGCAATATGATTAATCTGCATCAGCCCGGCGTCTGCGAGGGTGGCGGCGGCGGCGGCGGGTGCAACGCCGGGAGAGTTCTTTCTCCAGGCCGGGCGGAGAACGAACCGGGCACAGATAGGGTGTATACACAAAAAATGGAGACGAGCGGGAGGCATACGAAGGGGCGCAGCACCGCCGGCACAGGCAACCAGTTTTAGTGTGTATAGTGTGTTGTTCTAAGAAATACAAAATCCATTTCACGGGTGGTGCGAGGTGGGGGACTTTTAGCGAGTGGATGTTGTATTGATTTTCAACACGCGGCGGCACTCTCGTTGTGTGGTGCTCTCCACCACCGGCACCCCTCATTTCACCCGCCCACCCGCCACCGATTATAAATAATCACTATTGCCGTTCGTGTATCATTCGACTGAGACGCGCATTTATTTCGCCAAAGCCATTAAACGCTGCAAATTCGCAAACCTTTGTCTGCCAACGTACAAGTCCAATTAATGCATCAAGGCGGTTTTCACAGTAAATCCGTTTTATGTTGTTTCGAGAATGTAACTGCAATTGATTGATTCGCCTCGAATAAAATTGAAGGGAGGATAAAAGAAATCTTCAGGGGCGCATTTGGGTTTCTTCTCTCTCTTGATCCCGCTTGCTCAGCAAAACTGCGGATATTGAGTTAGATCCTTACTTTAGGATCAGGAGAGGCGGAACTGAGCAAAAATTCAAAAGTCATTCCATACAATTGTGCCAATAACTTCCAATCTTTAAACAAAACTTATAAATTTTATCACTTTTTATCCAATTTTTAACTAATATAATTAACTTTTTTTCTGTTTGCACATAAGAGCACTGTGAATGCTTTTCAATTAAGAAAACTTGTTACTAAGGGTGTGCAGGAGAATTATTATTAGTTGCATAATGTGCATTTTGTAGTAATGTCGTCTTATAGTGCACACACCACGCACTCGCATTCATAATCGCTGCGGGGGAGTCGGGGGAGACCAGGCCCGTGCTTACAATCCACTCCCCCATGGCGAGGAGTGTGTGTGTGTTTGGTCGGAGTTTGCTTCCGTGGGGGTCACGAGGTCACACAAGCGCTCATTCAATCCTCTTGACCCCGTAAACCAGAGACGCGACTTGCCAACTTTAGCTAATTGCTTTCTAATGTGAATACGTCAGTCTTACTCTAGGCAGTACCTTTTTCATTTGTCAAACTTTGAACACGCCAACTTTTTTTATTGTAATAATTTTTTGCCTTCTGCGATTATACAGAGGTTAATCAATGTTATAAAATAGAATTATTCAAAATATTCAATATTTACCTTTTAATTGACACTTTTCAACGGCAATTTGCTTCAAATTATGGTTTAAATGTGGCTAATTTATGCAATTTGTGCTTTGCAGCCCATTCTCTTTTCGGTGCTACTCCGCCCGGAGGTTTCGGCGACCACCTGGCGCACCTGCCAGGCGCCTACAGCATGCTAGGTCGGCCACCTTCATCAGCGCAAAACTCGGCCTACGGAATGCCGCCGAGCTCGCAAGCTGGAGCCTACGGAGGTTTGGGCACCCTGAGCGCGGCTGCCAGCCAAGCAGCCTCCCTCGGAATCAACCCAGCCAGCGCCGCGTGGTGGAACATGGCGTCCCAGCTGGCCGCTCAGGACTACCTGGCCCGACTGTCTGTTTCAGCCGGCGGACTGCCCTTCGGAGGTCTGACCGGCGAAGGTATGATGTCCGGCGGCTTTGATCTTCTTCAGGCTCAACAAGCTCTTGGTGAGTAAATTCAGTTAATTTTTTTCAAATTTATTATTTTATCTGTGTCGGTTTGAAACGATCAGCAGCTGCTTCGGCGCCGATCAAGTCCAGTAGCAAACATTCCTCAAAGCGGAGCAACAGTCACGCCAACTCCTCCGCCAGTCACCGCACCTCGACCTCGACGACAAGTGCAAAGAGCAGCCCTTCTGTCACCACCTCCAGCTCGCTGCCGGCTGGAATTTCGGCCTCCTCGGCCAGCATCATCAGGTAGAGTCACCGTTGCAAACTAGTCTGTTAGACTTCGTAGTTTTCTTATATAAAACGATATTTTTGATGAGTTCAGTGTCACCCCAAAATTATTCTAAGCAAAATTTAACTTGGGAGGGTTCTAAATTTGCTCTGTCTTTTGTTCAGTCCTGCCCCCTCTGAAGGAGCAGGGTAAGTTGGTAGTCAGTGTTTAGTAGATAGAGCAGTTAGAGTAATAGTAGTCTGCATTTGGAGGGATTAAAAAAATCTCAACTAGCATAGCATTGGAAGTAAGGATGGAAATTTTCCAGACCTCCAATTATCGAAGACTAGCTGAAAGTTTTTTTTAATCGCTCTCACAATAACTTTACCAGCCTGGCAACATCAGATTTAATTTTGCCTGCTTTTGTTTAGTTTGCATCTATCTATTTTATTTATTTCATTTGCTAAATTGTTTTAGACCTAGCAAAGAGAACTTGCTTTTTTTAAATCACAATAAGCATAATGTAATATTTAAATTATTAAATAAATTAAAGTTTTTAAATTTAAAATTAATGCTAGTGGCGTGAAAAATTTCTGCTTTCTTATCATGAAATAATTGCCAGTTTATTTGTGTAGACATTAGATTTAAAAAGTCTTATTATATAATTTTCTGATGCCCTTATTTAACGAGCTCTCAGAAAAACTTTTTGCATCAAATTTAGTATAATTTCTTCTCTTATATTAAATTATCCTGCCTATTTGTGGGACATCTTACTCGCATGTTGTTGATTTGTATTGGTTATGGTGGGCAGTGATCCGGCCAGTATTCTGGGTGGGGTGCGTCTGCCTCCCGACACTGAAATCATCAAATACACCTCGTCCATCGTGGGTCCTAAAATCCCCGGCACAACCAACAGAGGCAGAAAGAAGACCATTTCGCTGGACCCGCCGTCCGTCAGCGTGCTCCCCACCAACATGATGCACCCGTCGCAGGCTGCTGGGCCCACCGCGGCCGGCATCATGATGTCCGACCACCACCGCAGGGGAGGCCGCTCTTCCGGCTCAAAATCAGCACGCCAATCTGTAAGAACCCGTTTTTAAACAATTAGTACCTCAATACTATTTAAATTTTTGACGAAATTACAGAAGGAGAGTGCGGCTCGGGCCAGCTCTCCACTTGACCAAGTAGAGGTCATCAAGTTACCCGCCTCCTCGCCTGCGGCCACTAATGGTGGCTCAGGCTCTTATGCGTCGCACCTGGCCACCCTGAACATCCCTTCCTTTGGGGGTGGCAACGAAGGCAATGAAGACGCGCCCCTCAACCTGTCTATGAAACCAGCACAGAGTGCGCCCTTTACCAACTCCGACCGGCAAAGTGAGCTCAAACTTGGATTTAATTATATTATTTTGAAAGCATGCTCAAAATTTCGTAGTCAATTTTTTTTATATTTGTTATAGTTTAAGCCTTTTAAAGTTTTCTTGCTCTTATTTAAAACTTAAAACTAACTTTTTTTTCATCTTCTTCTTTGAAAATTCGTCTTTCTAAGCGATTTAGAGTCTCTTGTAGTTAGTTCTCGAGCAAAGGCTATTAAAATTTTACAAACTGAATTAATTAGCGCGTCGCAAACCAGGCCCCCGACCGCGACGAGTGCTGCAAAATCCTCCTGGACCCTCTGCCAGTCCGTCCTTGGCACAATTATTTGCCAGCATTGACGGACCCAGACCCAGCAGTTCTGCATATAGCTCGGCTAACTCTGGCAACGAAGACTCTGACTCCCAGACTAAGGTAATTTTAATCATAAATGAGTTTTTATAAATTCCTCAATTCGTGGTTGTAATTTTTATTATCAAGGATCGCCCACGTAACCTTGGTCGGGGAGTTTCCAAACCAAAGAAGAACACGGTTGCCTCCCTTTTAGCACAGAGTCGAGCTCTGGGAATCAAGCCAACAGTGGCTTCTCTTAGCCGCCACCAAGTGTCTCTCCTCAAACCACCCTCCATGCAGAAGCACTCGGATAGAGAAAAGTCAGGTGCTCTGAGCGATGATGATAGCTCGGTGCCAGACGTTAGTAGTAGTGAGAGTGACGATGCTTCTGGAATGCTGGCCAGTGACTCTGATAGTGCAGATGAGGACAGCAGGAGGGGTCGGAAGAGGGAAGGGACTGATGTGGAAGATGGCTCAGGTTAGCTAAAGGATTGATTAATTTAAACCATTTTTATATTCATTTTACTTGCCAACGTTAGGCTCAGCCAAACGGCATAGAAGCAGTGTGTCTATGGAGAGGGATCTGCGGATTCCTCTTGTGCGTGGATGGAAGAGAGAGACTTTGATTTGTGGTGTAGGAAAGTCAGGTTCTGTGAAGGGAGAGGTGTCGTACATGTCACCCTGTGGCCAGCGGTTCAAGAACTGCACCGACATTCTTAAAGTTGGTTTTTTTTATTTGGTATATTAAATTTGTTTACTGACTATGGAAATTTTTAGTTCCTTGACGCACAAGGCATCACAGATTTAAACAAAGACAATTTCAACTTCAGCTCAAAGCTGGTACTGGGTGATTTCTTGCAGCCTTTGATGGCGGGCGCAACGTTGCCTGAAGACTGTGTTAGACTTACTGAGGAGGAAGTAGTGATGCGGGTTGAACAGCTGCGTCTGCTCAAAGCTGCATCCACTAGCAAGCCGAAACAAAATAGGTAGGATTTGCTTCCATTCTTCCAAGAATTGTTATGTAATGCAAGTTTTGATTTCGCAGGAGAATGAGGGAAGACGAATACTTTAGACGGCAAATAGAGGCTCAGCATTTAGCAAGACTTGCACAAGAACATAAAATGGCACAACAAATGGAAAAGGAAAAGAGCCACATGGCTGCCAGGGAAGCCAAGCGCATTGCTAAGGAGGAAGCGCAAAAAATCAAAGAACAGTTGAGGTTTGTGTTGGAAATAAAATAGAAAAAGCAGGTGACACAAATTTTTGTTTAGGATGATGAAGGAGCACGAGAAATACGAAAGACAGGAGGCACTGAAGAGAGAACGGGAATACAAGGCGCAGCAAATGCTTGAGGTAAAATCAGGACGAGAATAAAAAAAAAACTTTTCATATTCATGTCACTGGATGTTTACTAATTCTGGTGGTAGCATGTGTTTCACAAGCACCAAACTCTCAGAGAACCACATTTTCTAAACTTTTCCTTCATTTTCTTTGGCTTGACCTGCGAAAACATTTAACAAAAGTTTGCATGGCTGGTTAACATTAAAATTGCATGTTCTGTCTTATGGGTTAAGGCGCGACGGAAACGTCACCAAGAACTGGAAGACCAGAGACAGGAAGAGCAGCAGCGCAAAGCAAAGGTATGGCACGCTTGCTTTAATGCTCTTGGTTATCTGCAACCTCTTTCATCATCATTCACTAACAGTTAAAAAGAAAACAGACTAACGAATAGTTGTGTAAATATGTTTTTGACTGGACACTTTGAAATGATTAAAAATTAATCAAGTACTGGTGCAATTTAATTTACAATAATTTCTTATCATTTGTATATTCCAATTAAAAATAAATTGTTTTAGGTGCCTAAAATAATTTCTTGGTCATTAATATCTTCTCTCGATGTAATTTAATAAAATTAAATTTACAAAAGGGAATAGTTATAGGTTAACCTGCAAAATCATTGCACTTAGACATTGCTCATGGTTTTTTTGTTTTAGGAACGGGAGCTTAAGAGACAGCAGGCTGTTTTGTTGAAGGAGCAAGTAAGTGTCCTTAAAGTTAAGAATTATGCTGGTATGCTCTCACCGTGAGAGGTGTCCAGTGTCTAACATAGCATAAAAAAGGAGCTAAAAAAATATAACACTCAGGCTCAGACATTTGGTTGGTTAATCAATCACAATCATCCCCTTTGCCTTGTGCCTGCGAACTGCTTGCTCATGAACCTTTACATTTTTGCTTCCCTTTTTAGACGTGCTACATTGATTTGCACCAGTATATTTGTTGTCTCCTCCAGTTTGCACTTCTCTAGTTTTATTAGTTTGAAAGCTTCATAGCTGATAAGCTAGTAGAATTTTGTTTCTTTGAATCATACTTTATGTTGATCAGTCACCGCAATGAGTAAAGGTCTCTGTAAAATAGTCGTAATTTGTATCAAATTGATGTGAACACGTTTCTTCCTTCTTTCCACATGCTGTGCAACTGTACATGCAGGAGCTCACTAAGCAAAGGGAGATGCTCTACTCTGTCGAAATGGTATGTTCTAAGTATGGCCGCATTCAACCACTAAATTAAAAAGTCTGATGCCTTATATAGTTTTGGTACAACCGAATTAAATGAGTTTAATTTAGTTATTAGTGTAATATAATCGTGCTTCTAACCTGGAGACGTTACGCTGATTTGCCATTATAAATATTCAGTCTTAAATAAATTTTGTGACTTGCGAGTGGCAAAAATGTGCTTTGCATTAAGTGTCGCAAATCTGACAGGAACGAGAACGGAGACGCCAACACATGATGCTGATGAAGTCCTTGGAGGCCAGGCGGCGACATGAAGATCGGGAGAAGAGGCGCCTCGAGCAAAAGGCGGAGAAGCAAGCCAGCAGGGAGCGCAGGGAAGAACAGAGGCGCGCAGAGCTTGACCTCCTTCGAGAGCTACGAAAGCCCGTGGAAGACATGACCTTGTTTGCTACACCAGGTTAGCATCAACAGCCTTACTTACTAATTAAAAAATCTAAAATAATTTTCAAAATTACAGAACACAAGGATCTCCCTGCTTTAAGCCGCATCACTGGTCTGAAACTGGCTGGAGAAGCTTTCGCAGACACACTCATGGTGTTTGAGTTCTTGCACAATTTTGGGGAAACCCTTGGTTTTGGTAAAATATTATAAAAATGTTAAATTTCTTCTGATAACATTGGTGAATCTATTAGACATGGAAAGCCTGCCCAGTTTGAACAGTCTCCAAATGGCTCTTTTGAACGACGAAGAAGCTGAGGAAGAGCTGCTCTCTGTGATGACTCACTTGTTAGTCTGTGCAATAGAGGATCCAGGAATACCAAATCCTGCCAGGCACACTACTCTTTTGGGCCAGTCTCTGAGACAAGCAGACATAACCCATACCAACTTGTCAGAAATTCTACGAATCTACCTCTACGCAAACGCAACTGGAGAAGTGAAAGCTCTCCATGGTGAGTTTTTTTTTATCTTATCAAGTTCTTTACTCTTTGTTATTATAATAATATTATTCATTAATGAATGTACTTTTTGTAAAGGTGTAACTTTTGAAAGGGAAAGAGAAAAGAAGGAACCAAACCGCAACCAGGCATTTTTGGAAAAGATGAAAGAAAACCCGACATGTATTATGTCCGAGTGGCTGCGCACAACACCATTCCTAGCACTCAGTCCCACACGCAAAGCAGCCATACTTGCATTTATTTGCAATGAACTCTTGCAAAACAAGGCTGTGTGTCGGCAGATTGACTCGTCCATAGAAAATGTTGCCCAGCTCAGAAAGGACAGATGGGCCATCGATGGCAGAATGAGAAAGTAAGTCTCTTTGCATCTTGAGATGCGAATGATCTCATGCAAAATTACCATGGAGTGATTGTAACTTGCTCTTAATAAATTTTATTAATTCCATTAATTCTTTTCTTTTTCCATAGGCTCAGAATTTTGCACAGTCGTAAGTCTCGGATGGAGCAGATTGCCGCAGTTACAAAACAACATGAAAACTCTCTGATGACACCTGAAAAAGAAGGCATGGATGGGGGTGAAAGCAAAGATGGGTCCAAAGATTTGGATAAAAGTGATTTGGAAAAGAAGACGGACATTGATGACGACGATGATGATGAAAGCGGCAACGAAAGCGAGGGAACGACAGCTGAAGTTGAAGTTCCAGAAGAGGTAATTAGTCTTTTAACTCTCAGATTTTGAGTGGTTTTGCTACATTGATAAGCAAAATCTAATTACTCTATAAATAATTGTTTAATCTTACTTAACAAAACTCTATTTTTTATAGGATGAGGACAAGAAAATGACTGCTGAGGAGCTGCAAAAGAAGCTGGAAAAGGTTTCAAAGCAGAGTGAGCAGTGGATGCAAGATCTTAGCAGCGCGGCCCAGCAGTTGCGAGCCATTTGCTTTGGGCAAGATCGATACTGGCGTCGTTATTGGTCACTTCCTCGAGCTGGTGGTATTTATGTTGAAGCCAGTGAATCAGCCGAGCCAAACATGTTCAGCACCATCGGAGAAGCTGAAGAGGAGGAGGAAGAAGAGCCAGAACCAGTAAGCTCTGACAAGCCTGCTGAGGAGCAAGAAGAGGCTGAGGGAGTAAAAGGCAAGGTGACAGACGAGTCTGAAAAGCAGGAGCCAATTCACATCAATGGCGTCAAAGAGGAGACTAAAGACATCGAAATGAAAGAGGAACGAATTGTTGACAAGTTGGAAGAGGCTGATATGAGTGTTTCGATTGCCTCTTTGGAAGCAACACCCAAGAAGGAGGAACCGGAAGAGATCGACGATGACGACCTTGACAATGAGGAGAAATTCAACCCATTGAATCACTTGATGAGGTGGGGTTCTCCAGGCCTGTATAACGGAACCAAAGATCTCAATGGCAGTTTCAATCTGAAACTAGACACCAGTGCAAGTTCTGCCTTCAGCGGCACAGCGTCTCCTAGCAACCATTTGCAGGACAAGCAGTGGTTCAGCATCATTCCAAAGGAGGCTTGCGACGAGGACACCCTGACAAAGCCTCCCTGCCGCAATGCAGGTGCTGGGGTTCCTCTGAACAAGGGTGGGGTTGAAATCCGCATTCCGTGGTTCCCTCGTCCGCAGGCATGTGCCTCGCCCCTTCCAGCCGCCTCACCAGCACCATCGAGCAGACCCAGTCTATGTGACTCTCCACCACCATTCTCTTCTGAGGAAACAGCAATGCACATAGAGCAACTCCGTCGACTTGAAAAAACAGTTGAAGCCGTTCCAAGGCGAATTCCATTAGGTTGGAGCAATTAAAATCAATAATGTAAAGAATTTTAATTTACCAAGCAATTTTTTCACAGATAAACGACGTGGTTGGTGGCGCATATCTGAATCTGAGCAGATGCAGTCACTCATTAGCTGTTGCCACCACAGAGGAGTCCGAGAGCGAGAGCTTAAGCGGACTGTAAGCAGATACATGGAGTATGTTGCTGAATCTGGCAGTAAAGTGAGTTGTTTTTTTCCCATTTATTGCATAATATTTAAAATGATTTTTCATTAATTTTATTATTTCGAAATTAGTTTTTGAGGTCTTTTTATTGCCATTTATTTTGATTTAACGGAATATTTAAAAAAAATCCATTCTTCAGCTATGCGCTCCTGGAGACACAGCTTCCACTGATCTCAGCACAAATGATGATGAACCACAGCCTAAGCGCGCTCCTGCCCAAGACGAACCAGATGCCTGGAGCGAAAAAGTGGCGCTCAGGGTTGACATGCTCATGCTGGAACAGGTAGAAGCCCTTGAAGACCGCGTCGCTAATGCCAGCATGCAAATCAAAGGCTGGAAGGTGCCTCCGAGGGTGTCCACCGACAGCAGCGTCTCCTTCCGAGCATCATGCTTGCCTCCAGAGGATGAGGATGATGAGCGGCAAGATCCAGTTTTGATCGCAAAGGAGCGGCTGGCTGACCTCGAAGCCGCCATAGAGAGACGTTATCTGAAGCCACCCCTGGGCACTAGGTAATTTACAGTGTCATTTTAAGTGCACATCTTTTTATTAATTAGAGCCTAAATTTCAAAGTGGAAAAATTAATCAAATTTCTCTTAGTTCTGAGCTGTCGCTGACCAATATGCAAACGCCTGATAGCAAATCAGCACCCAGTCCCTCTTCACCCTCTGGTGAACCAGACACTCTTCCCAAGGGTCTGATAACCTGGAGGGATGCCATCGTAAAAGCGAAGACAGCTGCACAGCTTGCTATGGCCTTCTACATGCTGGAGGCTTCAATCGCCTGGGACAAGAGTATCATGAAAGCAGTGAGTGCCTCGTCTGCTATTCTGAGTGTGGGTATCGCTGCTTTTAACCTAGCACACTGCAAAACACCAGATTCGCATGTCCAGAAAGCGATACCAAAGTCAATGTTGTTAAATGGAATTTTCACTTTTGGTTCTTTTAATTTTTACAGTAACTAGTTGCATTTCGCACTTGTTTCGTTTAATTTAATTTTTAACCTTTTGGGGGGATGAAATTTTTAAGGAGAATAACAATAAATTAACTAATTTGGGTGATGCGGTTTACTTTTTATTTTATACTTTGACTCAAATGAAGCAATACTAATACTTCTCTTTCTGTTTTGATTTTTAAAGCACGCCTGCTTTATTTTCTAAACATAAAAGAAAGGCTGATCATTATTTAATTATTAACTGCTTTTTTTTTGTCATGCACTAAATTAATGGATCGGTGTTATAATTTTTTTTATTGTTATTAAGTTAGTTATGTACTTTTGCACCGATGAACTTATTGTTACAGAACTGCCAGTTCTGTAGCTCTGGAGACAACGAAGACAAACTGCTTTTGTGTGATGGGTGTGATAAAGGCTACCACATGTACTGCTTCAAGCCGAAGATTGAAAACGTTCCGGATGGAGACTGGTGAGTATTTAATTTTTTTTTTTTTAAATTTTATTATAAAAAGTACATAAACTTCATTATGTACAATATCGGAATATATTCCAAAATTTAATTTTCACAGGTACTGTTTTGAATGCCGCAACAAGGCGACTGGAGAGAGGAACTGCATTGTATGCGGGAAGCGCGGCGTCGGCAAAACCTTTGCTCTGTGTGACTCGTGTCCAAGGGCCTACCACTTGGAATGCCTAATACCCCCTGTTGCTAAAGTATTTTTCAGTACTTTTTACTCTCCGAGTTCTGCAATAGAACAATTTAATGTTTTGCAGATGCCTCGAGGAAAATGGTTCTGCCCCAACTGCAACTCAAAGAATCCGAAAAAGCGTGGACGCCGACCTAAAATGAGTGAGTCCGAGGGCACCTCGGTAGTCGGAGGCGACTCTGAGGGCGCTTCCACTGTTACTCCTACCACTACCTCCACTACCGCCACCTCCTTGAGCCCTCCCTCGTCTGCCTCCGCCAATTCCGCCTCCACTCCAGCTAAGAAGGATCGCAACAAAAAATTAGCCCGCGAGCTTTCGTCGTGCAAGAACTTGCTGGACGAGCTGGAGGCGCACGATGAGGCATGGCCCTTCCTCTTGCCGGTGAACACAAAACAGTTCCCAACGTACCGTAAAATAATCCGATCACCCATGGATCTCAGCACAATTAGAAAACGACTCACAGAAGGAGTGTGAGTGTGGCATCGTCTTATCAATGTTGTTTCTATTAGTCGAATAGATCTGCTCAATTTTTTTTCTCGTCAAGTTTTCCTTTTAATTTCGGAGTTGTGCTACTTTTTAATTCAATTTTAATTTTTTTTTCTTGTCTTGTGCCATTTTTGCAAGCTGAGGAGGGTGATTTGAAATGCTGAAATTCCCTAACCCCGGCCCTAATTTTAATTTAATATTAATTTCCCAATTTTTGTTTCCTCGATGTGTAGTAATCCCAGGTCCTTATTTTTATTATGATCAAGTAAAGGACGGCATTGGCATAGTCGCAAGAAGTTTTAAGGACTTGCCATAACATTTTTTAAAAAATGCTGGAGTTTTACTTGGCTTATTCTAATCATGTTGTGTCAATGCATGGTTTTGTTTTACACCGAAGAATATCATTCCTGACTGCATAAATAAAAAATAAACAGCTCAAGCAGTACAATTTAAAAGGTCCAAAAATTGAAACAATTGTGCTCATTAAGTTTGAAACTAAACATTTTTAATTCTAAAAGGGATAATTTTTATTTTGTAAGGACAATGTTGTTTAAAGTTCTGGAAATTTTCTGAAAATTTATCAAGCAGTCATCTCTTTTTTTTAGAAATAATAACGCAACAATAATGCTTAACACGCTTTTTAACATGAGCTTTATTGTTTGCTTAATCTAGAAGCAAGGCTTTTAACCAAGCTTGGAGTCCTGCTTCCTATTCTTATATACCTCTGCATTACCTTCGGAAGTAAAGAAATCAAATTTTCCCCTTTGAAAACATAAAATGTTTTTGAACGTCATCAATTCATCACAAATTTATATTTGTGATCATCCAACAGCAGCAGATCGATCTCACATTATTCGTCTTAATTTTTTGCAGATACAAGGGGCGAGAAGAATTCTGCGCCGACGTCCGAGTGATCTTCAATAACTGTGAGACGTTCAACGAAGACGATTCGCCAGTGGGCAAAGCTGGACACAGCATGCGCTCGTTCTTTGAGGCTCGCTGGAATGAATTATGCGCTGGCAACCTACTCTGAGGAAAGCGACCCCGAGTGTCAAGTGATGACTCGGGGCAGTGATAAAGGAGCACTTGTTGAGAACCGATCGGTCTTGCCTTTTGCCACACAGAGTGCTCTCGTTTTTAAACTGCTTCTTGTTACTTTCCCCTGCTGCCGCTCCTGGTACATTATTGCATTAATAGTATTTTGAACTCGTAAAAAGTGTTTTTGCACTTCATTTCCGTAAATTCCACCCGTACTTGTTTTCGCATCATGGACAGAATAATGTTAAAAATAATTAAAATAGTGTTGTACTATGGCTGTAATCTGAATTCTTAGATGGACAGTGTGGGGAAAGTGAAAACTTTTGTTTAATCGGAAGGAAACAGTGGAAAGAGTGCACTGTCAAAAGTATTTTTCAAAAGGAGAAAATTGGCAGCTCTGCACTTTTAGAGTGAATATAAAACGCGCAATGTCTCGATGAAAAGCAAAATCAAGTGCGTTATTAACATAAAAACAAATTCCCTGTTGGTTAATCAAAACTTGATAATTTAGACGCACATTATTTTGCTCCTCGACTTCGTTGCTGCGCTTGATTGTAAAATAAATAAACTTGGGAGGTCCAGTTGCCAGACAAATTTTGCTTTCATTTAAATAAAAGCATGGAAATTCTCTCTTTCAAGTGTGACAGCAGATGTGTGATAGGAATTTATGAACAATATAATGTACATGAACAGATTAACTTTTGAGGCGCCGAGCAATCTGCGCTTTATTCTCTCTACATGTCTTTTACACCTTCAGTGGGCGAGTGTATTTTTGTATTTTTTCTTGTCCTCTATTGTGTTTTAATAGACACGCCTGTATTAGACACAAGTTCTTAATTAATATCATTTTAATAACTCTGCGCGCAAGAGTGACGTAAGTGCAGTTTTTATATATTTGAGCCTTTAGTCATTCTTCAATTTTTTGGTGGGAACGATCGTATGTGGAATTATGCAATTGCGAGGATTATTTGTAATTTATTACTATTATTTTTTTAAAGGATTTATGTGCACCATTAAATAAAGAAAAATAATTGTAGTTGATGATTATTTATTAAACTAGAACAAAATTTACCACATTTAATTGTCTCATTTCACGATGGAAATAAAATCTACACAGAATATTGAATAAAAAAAATAAAAAAAATGCCAGTTTTGAAGATTACAAATTCAATCGAGTGCGCTACACCCTGCAAGAAATGAATCCAGTTGACCGAGTTTTTAACAAGTTTTTTTTTCTTTGTAAAAATTGAAGCCATCCAATTTTCATGTGATAAATTTACATATGAAAAAAGATTCAGTCGCGTCAGTCGAGCTAGTCGCGTCAGTCGCGTCAGGCGAGTCAGTCGAGTCAGTCGAGTTAGTCGCGTCAGTCGAGTCAGTCGCGTCAGTCGAGTTAGTCGCGTCAGTCGAGTTAGTCGCGTCAGTCGCGTCAGGCGAGTCAGTCGCGTCAGGCGAGTCAGTCGAGTCAGTCGCGTTAGTCGAGTCAGTCGAGTTAGTCGCGTCAGTCGAGTCAGTCGAGTTAGTCGCGTCAGTCGAGTTAGTCGAGTTAGTCGCGTCAGTCGCGTCAGGCGAGTCAGTCGAGTCAGTCGAGTCAGTCGCGTCAGTCGAGTCAGTCGCGTCAGTCGAGTCAGTCGCGTCAGTCGAGTCAGTCGAGTCAGTCGAGTTAGTCGCGTCAGTCGCGTCAGTCGAGTTAGTCGCGTCAGTCGAGTCAGTCGCGTCAGTCGCGTCAGGCGAGTCAGTCGAATCAGTCGCGTTAGTCGAGTTAGTCGCGTCAGTCGAGTCAGTCGCGTCAGTCGAGTCAGTCGCGTCAGTCGAGTTAGTCGCGTCAGTCGAGTTAGTCGCGTCAGTCGAGTCAGTCGCGTCAGTCGAGTTAGTCGCGTCAGTCGAGTTAGTCGCGTCAGTCGAGTCAGTCGCGTCAGGCGAGTCAGTCGAGTCAGTCGCGTCAGTCGAGTCAGTCGCGTCAGGCGAGTCAGTCGAGTCAGTCGCGTCAGGCGAGTCAGTCGCGTCAGTCGAGTCAGTCGAGTTAGTCGCGTCAGTCGCGTCAGTCGAGTCAGTCGCGTCAGTCGAGTCAGTCGCGTCAGTCGCCGGTGCAAAACTGTTTGATCAAATTGGATATAAGCAACAGGTGTTGTTGTGTGCTTGGAAGTTGCAATCAAGAGAACTATTTGCGCATATTCACATGACGACGTTGCAACGAGGTATTGGGCTTGGAGCAGTTGGAGCAACCGTAAATTTGTGTTGATTTTTATTACAGATTTCTTTTTCAAAGTACTGCAATTACTTGCAATTCCTGGCTTTAATTTTTAATTTTAAACTAAATCAAAATATTTCCTGAAACCGTGCTATCGTTCATTATTGATTCATTCTCTTTCGTGAAATTGCTCAACGCTGCCAATAAGTGACATCATTCGGTATCTCTTGCTGACGCGAATCAGCCGCTTGCTAATAAATAGGCAACACAAACGCAGATTCAGATTCACTAATCCATCAGTCCCGAATTTGAGCACCGTCAAATAAGGTAAGGCAGAGCGCGCACCCACGCACTTTAATCCTCTTTTAATTTTAAAATGTTATACGTAATAATAATAGAGGCTGCGTTCACTAATGATTGATTTTTGGTACCTAGTGCCACTCTTCTATTAAAATTTACTTTGGTGTGTCTGACCAATATTTGAATTCAAATTCTTGAGTACTTTTTTTTAATTTGGTTTTCCCAGGTTATTTAGAAAATGTCAAAATTGCAAATTATTTTTCTATATAGCAGGACTTTTTATGAGCGTTCTACACTTTCCAGCGCTTTTTTTATTTTATTTATTCTGAACAACTTTTCAACTGACCTTTTTAGCGTAGGTCACTAACAAACAGGATTTTTTTGTAAATTCCAGGTAAATGCAAAAAAATGTAGCTTATAAAATTGTATTTCTGGTAGGTGATTTTTAAAATAGTATTGTTTTTTTAATTTTTCAGCAATTTCGGATCAAATTTAAGATTGAAAACTTGACTTTTTAAATAAAACCAAAAAATAATTTTGCACAAAGAAGAGGGACACAACAATATGCGACACACCTGTTTTTATTTACTTTTCCTGCACCTCTATTATATTATATTGCTTATATTGAACTATAGTCGCAAATTTTTGTGCCGGAATTTTTGTATTACTATTTGATAGGAATATTATTATACCTGTTAGCAAATTTTTTTCCTTCTTCCTGCTGGAAAAAAATTCAATTTTTTTTCAGTGTCTGGCCAACCAGAAGCTAATTTGTCAAGAAAATTTATAGAAATGGATTTGAATAGCGCAACTGAAAAACCAATTGTTTACGACGATCAATAGTAAATCACATAATATCCACACATTTTCAATAATTTTAACCATAGTTATTATTTGATGTAGCGCATTCGACGCATTCGTCTTGATCATAAGCTACAGATTCCCATTCAAAAACCCAAATTGCGACTACACAGACGACCTGCCGTTTGTAAAAAAGGCCTATAGTGATTGGAGACGATGTCGAATTGTCGACCTGCGCTCACCTTCAAAGGAGAACTTGCTCTCCTTGATATCAAACGACCAAAAACTTCTTGAATTGTTCGAATCATCTCGTGAGTAATATAAATCTTATATATATATAATATAAGCTATTTTTTTTTTTAATAATTTTTAGATCCATCATCAATGTTCGTCCTCCACGTTTTGTCTCACGGCAACAAAAACGGCACATTCTATACAGATCACATTGAAGTAGAAAACCCGCAGAAAAATATTTGTACGAAATTCACAAAGGCACAAGTAACGAAAGCATTGAACAAATTAACAGCCTTCCGGTCAAGTCACAAAGTGGTTTTCTTCTCCGTAAGAAAAAATAATTAAATGTTATTTAAGAAAAATAAATTATAAAAAAATTTAGCCATGCCATGGAGAAATTGTTGATTGGATTCGACTGGACAACCAGTCGGACGTGTCGCTGAACAATTCCTGGAGATTCTGCAATTTTCCTATTAGCAATTTTCTTCCAGACGACAAAATCGCGTCCAATCGGCCTGGAAGGGTTTGTTTCTTATTTAGTCTGCATCGGTTCAACCATGAAATTGATCAAAAGAACGGAAAGACCCTTTTGCACCTGGCAGCAGAGTGCGGCAATCGGAGAATCGCCAAATTTCTCGTCCTCTGGGGCGCCGACGTGGACGCTGGGGACAAAAAAGATTCGACGCCTCTTCACCTGGCCGCCCAAAACCGATCCGGCGTTTGCGAATTTCTCGTTGAAAGCGGCGCTGACCTCCGAAAGGTCAACAAACTCGGCTGGAACGCTCTGCACTTCGCATCGTGGTCAGGAAACGAAGAAGGCCTCAAGTTTCTACTCAGCCTCGGAGTATTGGACGTAAATGCCAAAAGTAAAATTGGCGAGACTCCGTTGACATTGGCAGGCAAAAGGGACAACGTGCGAGTTGCAAAAATCTTGATTGAAAAAGGCGCTAAACTTATTAACTCGTCAAATATTGGACGGGAAACTCGCACCATATTACAATTTTTCATTCACAAAATTGATGAATCGGAAAAGCCAGTCGAGTTAATTATGCAGAAGGCCGCCAATTTCAAAACCAGCAATTTCAGATTTTTGCTCCAAAACGGCGCCGACCCTCGTGAAACCGACGAAATGGACAGACACGCTCTGCACGTCGCGTGTGAGATGGGGATGAGCCTTGAGAAGACGAAAGTGCTGCTGGACCTGAACGTCCTCGATGTCAACGCTGCGTGCGCGACAGGAGACACGCCGCTAATTTTGGCCTGCAGGAAACGTCGCTGGCACTTGATCGAACTCCTTTTGGCTCACGGGGTCTGCCCTGAACACGTTGATGGCCAAGGATGGACTGCCTTGCACCACGTTGTGCGCTGGGACGGTCCACTTGACGTTGTCAAATATTTGGTTGAAAGTGCTAACTCACTTGTGCACCACAAGACAATAGACAAGGTATGTACAACAAATATAATTACATTAATTTTTTGACCGTCAAAAATAAAATGATGTTTAAAAAATAAGATCTTTTAAAAGTCAAATGTATGAATGAATAAGAATAATAATTAAAATTTGAAAGTTATCAGCAGTTATCACTTATCAGTAATTTGAATCAATTTTTAAAATATATATAAAATTGTATAATTTTTTTCATATTTTATTTTCATAAAAATTATTTGTTCTCCAATTTTTGACAAGTTTAATTTTTAAATTATTTTCAATATTTTTGGCGTAAAATAAATGTTTAAAACCTATTCGCACCAGATTTTGGTTGGTTTTCTAAACTTATTTTGAAAAAATTTAAATTTATTTAAATTTTTTCATTAATTGCTAATAATTCCAATTCACAAATGCGTGGTATCAAATCATAATTATTATATTTTATAATTATTTTTTTATAGAACAGAAATTCATGGAGTTTTTAAAGCAATATCAGTAAAAATAAATTCAAATTTAATTTTTTACTCGTTAGGAAACTGTTCTTCACGTGGCTGCTAGATCGAAATCACTAGAGAATTTGCAATATTTGATTATTTGCCCTGGTGCTGATGTGCAACTCACCGACTCAGACGGACGAAACCTTCTTCACTGGGCGAGTGCCAGAGGTTTAGTGGAAAACGTGCGATGTCTGATGCCCTTGTTTCCTCACGTGGACATTCGCGACTCAACGGGCAGCACATCTCTCCTTCTAGCAGCGGCTGGTGGACACGCGGAGGCGGCCAAACTGCTGATCGACGAAGGTGCCGACGTCAATAGCCGAGACAAAACCTATGCGACTCCGTTGTTGGCTGCGGCCAGAGGTGGCGACTCGGACACTTGTCGCGTCTTGCTGGACGCGGGCGCCGACGTGACTGCCGAGGACGAATCTGCAAACGACGCCCTGATCGCAGCTTTTGCGGCGCAAAACGTTGACACGGCCAAATTTTTGTTTGATTCGGATTTGTTCGATTTGCAAAAGAGAAATTTGAAAGGTCAAAATTGGTTTGAACTTGTTTCAGCAGCCGCCAAGGAAGATCCGTCGGAGTGGAAATACTTTTTTGGAGAAAATTCTGAGCACCAAATTGAGAATAAAATTGCGGCGTTGGAAATTGATGACCACTTCTTTGACTTAGAAGAAGATGCGATCCATAAAGCTGGGACGAAGCTACAACCCCAAATTTTGCAGCGCTCTAATAGAAAAGACTTAAGAACAAGTCTTTTGAGACAAACCAAAATGCATTGCCACTTAAGAAAAATAAGGTTATAAAACCTAAATAATTGAAAAATAAAATTCTTATAATTTAAGCAGTCATTTATTTTTTACTAATTTTTCTTTATTTAAATATTATGTCGGTCAGTGATCAATTTTCCTTAGGATTTGTAAAATACAGACGTTTTTATTTTAAAAATTGATCAATTAAAAATTTTAAAAAAATTTGAAGAGTAAATTTAATGGAATAAAAATAATTTTCCTTCTTAAAATTAAAAAGTAATAAAAAAACTCTAACTTATATATTTTATGAAATAATTAAATTATTACTTATTATTTAAACAAATTTTTCTTGAGTAATAAATGTCAGCAGATGTGTGATAGGAATTTATGAAAAATGTAATGTACATAAACCGATATAAACTTATGAGGCGCTGAGCAATCTGCGTTTTATTCTCTCTACATGTCTTTTACACATTCAGCGGGCAAGTGTATTTTTGTATATTTATTCTTTATTCTTGTCCTCTTTTTGTGTTATAATAAATAAACTTGTTTTTATAACTGCGCCTTTTTAGTCATTCTTAAATTTTTGGTGAAAATACCTTATGTGAAATTATTAATAATTATTACTTTTTTAAATGGTGCACCGCGGCCATTAAATAAAATTAATTTTTATTCAAATATTATATTATTAATTCATTAATTATCGTTGTTGATGATTTTATTTAGCAGAATCAACCGGAATTTACCAAAGTCGTTTGACAAACAAATTAAATTAAAAATTCTTCTCATTTTTAGAAGATGATTGAAAAAGGCTTAAGAAAATTTTGGATCTCGATCATAGCAATGAGTTTAATAAAAAAGAAAACAACAAGCACATAATGAGAAACAAGCAAACTGGTTTCCCGCCAAGATCGTTTGGAGGCAGCACCGCAGCACAATCTGCAGTGTGCAATTTTCGTTGGTGCACTCCAAGGAGGTGCAGAGTGCAGGTGCATTCAGCTGTCTCGGCCCGGCTCAATTTGGCTCTGCTTACAAACAAACAGAAAAAAAACATAATGGAATAATATTGATCTTTTCTTTTTGCATAGTCACTTTTGCACAAACACGTATTTTTGGATCGAATTACTGCGCGGCTACAGATTTGACAGAGCTAAATATAATCAGTGTCTTGAGGTCACTAGCCTCTGTTTCCTATTGCAACCGTCAAAAAGCGAGACCCGGTAAACAACTATGTGGCCAGGTACTTGAATGTTTTACGATTTAAACATACATTAATATATCCAATATAATTTTTATTACAAATCTCTTTTAGCTGGAAATACAGCTAATTGTAGTGACGAGATTTAATTGCAGTAAATGCTGCATTATCTATTATAATACCATAATAATCATTTTTAATTTTCCAGCTAAACTGCAACTTGGAGAGCACGACGAAGTTCTGGTTGAAAGTGCCCTGGCCGTGAGTCTGCAAGCTGTTCAAGACGCGCCGGAGAATCCCATTGAGTGGATTCAAAATAATAGTGCAAATGTAGAAACCTTTCTCAAGAAGTGTCGAGGAAATTGGGTGTCCATCAAGCACAAGAAAAGCGTCAAGTCCGACAATCATGATCGGAACATTCAGAAATGGTTTAGAAAGCACAAGGCATTGATTGATAAGATGACGAGCACTGGCAAGAAAAATATTAATAAATCTATGATTTCCAGCATCTCCAAATAATTGCACCAGTATTTTAGTTGTTATTCGAAATCAGAATATCTGCTCTCTGCTCCTTTTATTAATTTTACTGGTCCAGATGCTTTTGTAAAAAAAATCATGCATGCATTTAATTATACATTTCATTTGATTAAAACTTCACATGCATTGTGTAATAATTATAATTATTATAAAGAAAATAGAAAATTCTTATTTACTTTAAAAATATTTTCAGCCGTCAGCAAGAGGCAGGCAAGCAAAGAAGAGGACGAGATTGAGGGACATGTTCGCCTTGAATTCTTCGACCAGCGGCACCCAGCCCGAATCTCCAGTTCAAAGAATGCCAAGCGCCAAAAGTGCAGTGTCGAGCAACAGGGTATAAAAACTTCATCATTTTTTTTTTAATTTACTTCCTTAAAAGATAACATAGTGCTAGTTTTATTAAACTTCAAAAAGTTTCTAATTTTTGTCATATTCTTTTTTAGTTGTGTTTGTTCCGAAAAACAAGAAAAAAGGGAAAGACTTGCCGAACGTACAGTACACAGGTTTTTAGAGTTTTGAAACTAATTTTTGCAATTAACAATTCATTTAACCTTTCCAGACCTCAGCTTCGTTGACAAAAACACAAATCTACAAGTAAAGTTGGTTAAGGAACCCAACACCATTCCTGAAAGCGTTGTTCTCAAAGCAAACCTGCCGGCAGAGGCCGAAACATCGGTTGCTCAGAAGATGAACTGTCTGACGTCCTCCCTAATTCATATGGCGGTTTCGAGTTTCAGAGAATCAAAGGTAATTAAAAGAATATAAATTTTTTAAGACTAAACTCTAAAATTTTGCAGACTCCTGCTGCCTACAAGGAGCTCACCAAAGAAGCTCGGAATCAACATCTAAGCAAGATGTTTGGTCATCTCAAGAAATCTGGAGGGCTTGTCAGTGAGGAGTCTGAAATCGAAAGATTCCTTCACTTAGTGGAGAGGTAAAAACATTAATTACTTAGAAAAGGAAAAATTATAACTTTTTTTATGACTTCAAAATTTCAGTAAAGAAAAAATTAGAAAACAAGCCAAAGAAGAAAAGATCAAAGAATCACATCTATGGATCAAGGAGTTCCAGTACAAAAGCGTCCGTGCCAAGCTGGGACGATGCTGTTTGTGTTCAACTACAAAATTGATGAGCTGCTTTCCGAACTTAACCTTGCAAGATTGGAGTTTTGTTCAAAAGGAGGATGCACTTCTCGAAAGCGCATCCTGCATAAAAGTGAGATAATATAAGTTATATTTAAATTTACTTCCATTATTTTTTCAGTGCAAAAAGGATACAAACCATCAACTTCTTTTCATACTAAGCCACAACTACCTGCTTATTGAACCTAAGAGCATTGAGTATCCCAGGCCTCCTAAAAAGTCCTTCAAAGATGCTTTGGATATGTTCAAAGAAGAAGTCCAGATTGGGGGTGTTGATTTCTTTTTCTGCTCAGCCAGTAAGACTTCCTGTTCTTAAGTAATACATTCTCAATAGGCCTTGCTATTTCAGTGATGAACTTATGGATTGAGAAATCCAAAGACGAAGATATTGTCCACTCCGTATTGGTAACTAAAAAAAACGGTCGGTTTGATGTTACCTGTGACTGCCAAGACTTGGAAAAGTGGAGTGTCGAAGAAAAAAACTACAAGTTAGGTTTATTAGATAAGAAAGTGTATACCAAGCTGGTTTTATACAGAAGAAAGGTAATTTATTTATTTTGGCTTTAGAAATTAAATTATTAATTTTTATAAAAATGACCATGATGAACGGTAGGAATGAGAAGGAAGAGTTGCCACGGGTGAGCAGAATTTCGGACACACCCACCCTGTACACCATCATCCAAAGAGAGAGTATCCAAAATTTTGTTCATTGACTTAATTAATACACTGGTTTCATATTATCATTTGGCTCCTGCCCTGATCTGTTACATATTTGAAATTTATTGAAAACAATCTGGAATGCAAAACAAACTATAAATATCAAAAGATTTAAATTCCAATTAAGTTAGATGAAAATTGAAAAATAAAGCAACAAAAAATAAATGAGAAATTAATGAAAGAAAAAATTAAGACCTTGCACTTAATTCTATTTGAGAAAACCAGAAAAACAAAATCTAAGTTATATATCGTAAATATACAACCATGGCAGCCTTGTTTTGGCCTAAAAAATCTTGCACATCTGAAATTTGAACAAATCAATTCTTGACCATTATGGAGACAAGACAGGCCACGTTTAAAAAAATTTAAAAAAAAAACTTAAAAAGAGTTAAAAAATTTAGCTTTAAAAAGTATACTCTTGAAAATCTGGAATTATTATATGTTCCAACTCATGCTTGGAGTCTACAAAAAAAAAAAATTAACGTCGCCAAAATTGGTCCAGAGAAATTATTTAAAAACACATATATATATTTCCATATTCCTGTAGCACCAGATTTTATTTCACCTCACTGACGTACATGATCATGACCAAGACCAACAAATGAGTGATCGAATTTATGTTTTGACTTGCCGTTTATATCCTACGTCCAGGAAAGATAATAATGCGTGTGTTCCATAAAATTTATCAAATTTATCGTTTTTAAATTTTTATTAGCATAATAATTATCCACTTTTTCTCTGCGCTCATACATAAGGCGCCCTTATTTTGACGTATATCGCCGATGGTCCTTTCAAAGGGAATAAAAATTTGGTTGGTCTATAGGCAAAGGGAATAAATACATATCTGACCAAAATCAACTTTTTTCCATATTAAGCATTATTAACCCCATCTGCATGGCCTCAGTGAAAATAAACTATTTTTGGCCACAGGATGCCATCTAGATAATTAATTGAAAATTAAATTATTACATAATCATGGTTGGTCACCATATAAGGCATAGGGAATAAAAACGGAACCACATTCTAAAACATTATTTTTATTGAATGCAGCTAGAATGCTAACACTTGAGGTGGATTTCAAGTAAAATTGATATTGCCAATCAATTTAGCATGTCTGCATTAGTCTATTATTAAATTTTTGCTGATAATTTCGTATCTTTTAAAAAGTTAAAGCAAAAACCTTAAAAAAGGTCGTGTCCAAGTTTTGTGATGAAAAAGGTGCATTTGAACATTTTGCTATAACTTTTAACTGCTAAGAAAATTTATACGAAAATTTCGTCACAGAATAATTAAGACATGCTGAACTGATTGGCAATGTCAGAAAAAATCTTAAAATTTTTTTCTTGTCCAAAACATTAAATTTAAAGGTTTTTTTTAATTTTTTCTCTAATTAAATTTTTTTTACAATAATGTGTACTATTACAAATAGAAAGAACATGTCTTTGGCTACAACTTTCTTATGAGGTTCAAGGTTTTTGTTTCTAAAAAAATCACTCTTAAAATGGCATTACTCCTACCAAACCCTTCTATATCTCAAGTGTCCGAGGAAAATTAAATAATTTTGATAAAAAAAGGTTCGTGTCAAGCAACTCTTAAACTTTTCTTTTCTAAAATTTGATTCATTTTCCTTAATTTTTCATTGTTCTTTGACAACCTAACGCGGTCTGGGTCATGACTATCTAAATCGCAGACCCACAATTTCTCTTAAAAATGGGGCGTGGGGTCTTCAATTGTAGCGCAGAGCTGATAAAAAAAGTTTTTAAAGTGATGGGAAGAGTATGGGATTGGGCTGCACTTGAGAGAAGTGAAAAATTTTCATTTTTCAATCTGCTGATACGCTTTTTTCATCTCCTGTAAAGTTTGATTTTTAGCATTTAATTATTCCCTTTGCTTAGTGACCAACCAAATTTTTATTCCCTTTGAAAGGAACACCGGCGAATATGTTATGCTGGGGCCGGTTGTGACTTGTTTGGAGCTGCACACTGTACGTTTCTCCCGATTCCAATTCGTGAATTCGCCCCTCCCGTTCACCCGGCTGCAGCGACGACTGCCATCAACACTGCCGTGCCATGCTCTCTCTCTAGTGTCTTAACGTCTGTCTCATACGTCTCTGCGCTGCTGTGTTGACAAAACTGCCGACTGCTCGAAACGGTTGTGGGACACTTTCGGACATCGAGTTCGCGGTCTGCTGGTCCGTCATCAAAGATCTCAAAGTATCAGTTAAGGTAAGGAATCTCTAGTCTCCTTTTTGCCAAGAGTCACCTTTTCCTCAGGCGACCACCGCGCGCCGTTCATTTGCAAATTGACACATTGTTATCGCTACGATTTTGATATTCTTCAATAATTAAGAGAGGGTCTTGTGTCTTTGTTTTTGAGATGTGTCGATCGACCCATTGCCCCTCGTGTCAAAGCTTCCTGGCCGCCCTCTGGCAGTCTCCATTTTTTTTTTATTTGCAAATTAATTTCCTAAAGAATTGAGATTTTTTAAATTATTACAAAACTTTTTGCCACCATTACCGAAATAATTAATGTTTAATTTTTATGGATGGCTTTTTAAGAACATGGCAGACGCGTATGACAGCGTTGATGAGGACGATGTTGAATCTGGTCTTGATCTACCCATCAAACGGCGGCGATGTGCGCAGCCCGCCAAGGATGATCAAAATGTAGACGAAAAGGCTTCTTTGTGCTCTTCTTTCAACAAGAAGCCAACTCCGTATGACCGGCGAGAACGAGAAAAAGAGCAGTCTCAAGAAAATATTTTCGTAACTGAAACCCTTGATAAGGATGATCCAGACTTCCTTAGTATTCAAGAGGCTATGAATAATACTATTAGGGAGCACGTCCATCAAGACAAGATTTCGCACTACAGCATCGAGAAGGTGTGGAGAAAGCCAATTTTTTATCCATATAATGCTTAAAAAAACTGATTATTTTTTTAGATCCTAAAAATTCACAACAAAATCCTTTGGGACCGGTATGTCGAGAGACGAGAGGAAATCCTTATCTCGCACTTGATTGAGACCATTGACGTAAACGAAAAATATCTATTCCACGGAACAAGTAATGAAAATGCATTGAATATTGTGAAGAATGGATTCTTAGTTGGAAAGAAACCAGGCATGTTTGGCAAAGGTGCGCAAATTACTTGCTTTTGATGAAATAATTTTTACCAAAGTTATTTTTTACAGGAATCTATTTCGCGAACATCAGTTCCAAATCAAACCAGTATTCCCTGAATGGGCTGGAGCCTTGCGAAAAACATAATGAAAGGATGTGTCAAGAGTGCATCCGTTCGTTAATTTTAGGACGAGTTACATTGGGTAAAATGTTTGCGGCAACTAAAGCGTCTCCACATGCCCCACCAGAAGGATTTGACTCTCTGTATGGAACACCTTTAAAAAATTTTCTTCGGTACCCGGAGTACGTCGTCTACCACAAGGACCAGGTTTATCCGGAGTTTTTAATTCACTACAAGGCAATTTTGGAGGTAAATGACTAATGAGGCATTTGAATTTTTATTGCTTGTTCATTAATCATGCGCATATCTTTTTACCATCAAAAAAGGAAACTGAGGAAGAAAATGCAAGATCAAATTTTGACCCTGATGATGATGATACTGAGAAGGACACAAATTCCTCATTCGAAAGTGATGACACCTCGACCAACAACTCTTCCTCCCAAAATGGGTCAACAAACAGTACCTCGTCTAATAGCAGCTTGCAAGATGGTCAAGACCTAAAAGACTCATATGAAGAAGGATTGACAAGGCAGAAGAGAGCCTGTCTGGACCAGTAAGCCTATTTTTGTTTGTAAAACTGAATTATGCCTTTTTCTTTTAGGTTGCAAGTTCAACAAAGGCTCAACGAGAAGGAATTGAAACCTTTGGAAAAATCTGTTCAACAGTTGACTGAACGCTTGAAACTTTTAAGAGCAGAGGCAAAGAAAAAGGTAGCTGCGAGGATTGAAGATCTTTGAAATTTACTCTATACTCTTATCACTATTTTTAGACTGCTGGTCCAGTTGGAGGGATGAAAAAGTTCATTGAGGAAGAAGACAAGCATTATAGGGAGATTCAGAATAATGTAGCGGAATTGCGTGATATTGACGAGAAGAAGCAGAAGGAAAAGTTCAAAAATGACCTATCTTTGCTGGAGCAAAAGATCATAAGCAACAAGGAGCGCCTGCAAGAACTTGAGTCCACCACAGGTATCTGATTACGTTTTATTTGAGATTTTTGTGACTTAATGTGTAATTTTCAGATCTTGATGCTATCAAGCAAGGACTGCAGGATCTAAACCAACAAGCTAGGGAGGTCGTTAAAGACATTGAATCCATTCGCCAAAAAGAGAGTGGAAAGCGACGCTTGCTGAATGACTTTATCCAGGAAATCAGGGGTAAATATTTTAATTAAGAAATATTGGAACAAACTAACTACCTATTTTTATATGCAGACTTTGAGTATGAAATCAAAGAGCAGTCAAATCTGGCTGAAAGGAGACTGGCCGAGCTCAGCGGCCTGCACAGGCTGTCTTACAATGCTACCGTCTACCTAAATAATGATCTAAGGAAAAATCATCAGTTTGCTGGCAAAGTTTATTCCTCCATTGTTCTTGAGGTAAGATATTGTTCTCATTATATTTGCAATAGTTTATAAATTTGCTTGCAGATCAACACCACAGACCCACGAGCCAGTAGGTATCTGAACATTGTCATCAGTAGGAGGGACAAGATTGCATTCTTGTGTGAGAAGAGTGAAGATTTCAACTTCCTCTTTATGCACCTGAAGCAGAAGTTTGGTAATGGCCTTAACATGCTCACTCAGGGACCAGAGGTGATTGATTTAAACCAGCCCATTGGAATGGAAGCATTGAGGTGAATTCTTTATTTTTATTCATTGGAAATGCAGTTTTTATATATTTGAATTTTGAAATCTTACAGGAAAATGGGATTTGATGACTACCTATCCAACCTCATTGCATGCCCTACTGAAATCTACAACTACCTTTGCAAGACTTACAGACTGCATCAAATTCCAGTTGCATTCAAAGATGGCCAAGTGAATCGCCAAGATGCTTCTCAAACTTTCAACCAGTTCTTCATTGGTATGAATATTTTTAACTCAAATGGTGGTTTAACTTAAACGAGATATTTAAAACAGGTGATACTATGTACAGAATCTCCACTTCTAAATACACAAACGAGAAATCCTCTAGGACCATTCCTATCACAAACAAGAAAAATCCTTTCGACATCACCATCGATCTAAATGCTGTTGCTCAACTAAAGGCTATGTAAGATTAATTAAAATTTTAAAGCCATTTTTATCTTATTAATTTAAAAATTAAGGAAGGATAAAAAGGTGGAGGAGAGAGACGCTCTGCAGCGAGAAATGCAGGAAATGAATGCTGAGGTTGACCCATTGCAAAGAAAACAAGATGCCTTGAGAAATAAGATGAAGGAATTGAGAAATAGGGAATCTCAAATGAATGAGCTTCAAAGCCAAATCAGAAGAAATGAATCCAGCTTGGAAACCAAAAAGCAGAATCAAGGAGATTTTGACAAACAAAAGGAGAAGATTTTGATAGCAAATCAAGTGAGATGAGCTAAAAATTATGAATAAATGTTAATAAAATATTGCAAATTTTAGAGACTGCTCAGAGATGCTGTGGTAAAACTTGATGACTTTAAGAAGCACTTGAAGAAGTGCTATTCATATGATGTTGAAAGTGGCTTTGCTAATATGGAAGTGAGAGCTGTTTCCAAAAAGCACCTAAACAAGCAAAACAAGCTGGATGAAAAGAAGCGCACTCACAAAGACTTCTTGGTAATTACATGTTTCTTCATCTCTAATTACCCAACTCATATTCTTTTTTGCTCCAGAGGACTTACCAAAATGTAGTAGAGGCCTGGAACAGACTGAAATCTGAAGCTGCAAGGCTGAAAGCTGTTGCCGAGAAGACCATCGGTTGCACTCCAAAAGATCCCAAGTTCAAGAAGATGCAGGAAATTTTTGCCAAGCTTCCTGCCACTCTTCTAGAGCTTGATGATATGAAGACTGACCTTGAGAGCCGCCTGGAGTTTATGGACAGTGCTGCTGATGAGAATGTAAAATTAATGCTAAATTAATTTTTGATTCATCGACTAATTTTTATCATTCCACTCTAACTCAAAGATTGCCGAGCTCCTGGAGAGGCAGAAAGCCAAGGTATCCGAGATGGAGAGACAGTTGGCGTTTATCAGGGAGCAAGTTACTGGTCGAAAGACCCAGATGGATCGGCTGAAAGAAACATGGCTGCCTGCCCTTGAAGAATTGGCTGATCGAATCAGTGTTAAGTTTGAAAGGCTGTTCAACTACATGGGCTGTGAAGGAACAGTCAAACTGCTCAAAGGAAATGCAGAGGTATGTGTTTTAGTATTACATTACTCTCAAGTACACGATTTATTTGAAATAATTTTTTCCTTCAATTATTTTTTTTCTTTTAAGACACAAGATGACTACGAGAATTATGGTTTGAGCATCCAAGTCAGTTTCCGAGCCGGTGAGAGCCTTCAGGAGTTGGGAGGGACACAGAGTGGAGGCGAAAGGTCAGTCTCAACGGCCATTTACTTGCTGGCCCTTCAGGAGTTGACAGAGGTGCCTTTTCGCTGCCTTGATGAAATCAACCAGGTACACAATATTGAAGAGACATCTAAAAAAAATTTAATTATGTTATATTTAAGGGCATGGATGCAACTAACGAGCGTCGAATCATGGAGTTGATGATGAAAATGTCTGGAAATGAAGACAGTTGCCAATACTTTTTGGTCTCTCCAAAGGTAAAAGAATTGTAAGAGATGATTTTTACTTCTAACTGATCATTTATTCTCCACAGCTCTTGGCAAACCTTGTGTATGTGAACACGTGCAGAGTGCTCTGCGTTCAACAGCCATTGCGCATGGACACTACCAAGTGGACAATGGCAAAGTTCATCCTGAAGAAGCAAATGGAAGTTGGCGAGAAGAGGAGCCGCACCAATGGACGTGCACAGGACAATGACGAAACTGAAGACGACAATTAATCAATTCTTGGCAGCTTCTAATCTGAAGTATAAGAACAGTCCTTTTTTATCTTTGACGTCAATTTTTTAGTTAAAGGAAAGCAATGCAATGCACCAATGATATTTAAAATCGCAAGCCTTGCCTCCTGTTCTCAATAAGAAATTCTTACAAAACTTGGCATGTAGTTATGTTACAAGAAAATTTGAGCTAGTTAATTTATGCAGGGCTAATTTAGTACCATAAATAATTAAAAAATGGAAAAGTTTATAATTTAATATTTTTGTACCAAATACAACACAAATAAAACTACAACGATATTTGAAACCAAATATTTTATTAGTTTTTAAATTTAGAACAAATATTTTAAAACCAATTAAAATTATTAATTAATTAATATTAACTATAAAGGCTCATTGCTTGTCTTAATATCAAGATACTTAAAATTATAATGGCGATTGATTAAAATATTATGAAATGAGAATTTCTTATGAAAAAGTGCTATTCTTGTTAGGACTGGGAACAGTCTCTTTGGAGTCTCTCAGTTTCTGCAGCCGACGAGGCCCCAGAAATCCAAATATCCTAAAAAATATTCCGTTAGTTTTTCATTTGATCTGATTTTTACCATATATATGCTCACAATCGAGCCAAGTTTGGCAAATATAGAACGAGGTAAACCACTGGCAGCACAGGAAATAATGCCATATGGATATATCCATCCCATCATACAGCTCATTTGCAATTGCAATGGCACAAAGCTGTCCACATCTGTCTGGAGTCATCCTCGTATCAGTTGTTTCTGCTGATTGGTTGAATTTCTAAAGACAAATCTTTTTGGTCACATTATGTTTTGCAATACTTTCTTGCAAACCTTCTAATGTCCATACATTCTAACACAGGCTCCGTGAACACTTGCTGGGAACCCGGCGGCTCCCTGCAGGTCGGCGGCGGCTCTCGGCGCGGCCGGGGCCCACGGCGTGCTGGTCTTTGGCGGCTGATATTCGTACGCCTTCGTCCAAACGCTCGCTGGCGGCGTGCCACGTCGGCTCCCGATTCCTCGGACAGGAATAAGGAGCTGGCAAAGCTGCTCTGAACGGCTTCGGACGGCTCAGCCGCACCCTGGACAGTACGAGGGACACAGGTGTGTCGCTCGAGGGGCTCGGGACGCGGTCGGCCTTCCGGCTGTTCTCGGACGAGACAGCGTCGGGACAGGACAGCGGTCGGAGCCATGGGACGGCTCGGACGGGTGCGAAGGGATCAGACGGGCGTCTAAAACTGCAATGGGTGTCCAGGAGGTCCAGGTGTCCTCTGATTTCTCTGAGGTCTGTCAGCCTTTCTGCTTGGGCCAGCGGACGGAGCGCTTTTTATAGTGCGGGTTGCAGCCCTGGGAGGGTCATTTGAAGCCCACCCACCAATTTGATTTACATTGAGAACTTTCTAGATGCATCTAGAAAATTATAATTTGATTGATAAACATTTCATTGACCCTGACTTGTTTTGCCTCAGGTCGTAAAAATAATTGAGCGCCTTGATAAAAACAAAATTTAGGCAAAGAAATTTAAAACAACCTCTAGGGGTAGAGTCAGTAGAGTGACATCCCATGCGCCCATACGCCGGATTTTTTATAGGTCTGTCCCCAAATAGGAATATAAATTTAGTCCAATTCTTTCTGTTCTCATATACCCCGCCCCAAGTTGAAGATATCAATATGAGATTTTCACCACTTGATCATCTTAGTTCCAAGGCAAGTTTCCTAAATTTTTATCAAAAAATTTTCAAAATTGCGGGTTTTATGGGACATTTTGAAAAAATCAAAAAACGCAATTATCTCGGCTTCTAGTGGTCGTAACACAATTTTCCGGGTATGGTTGAGCTCGTCTCAGCAAGTTCTACAGTTATTCTATTAAAAGCAAAATTGTAGGTCAAAGGTCAAGGTCAATTTTTGTGAACGTAAATTTTCAAACTCAAAATTGAAAACCAGCCGACCATTTTAAATTAATTTTGAGATAGCCAAACGATTCCTCGTGAAATTTTACGTAATATATGTCAAAACTGCGATGAGGTTATTTTTTGTTAAATTTAAAAATAAATAAGAATATTAAAAAACATGATTTTTTGCAACTCCGAAGGCAGGGTCAATATTATAATCGCATTTAACTTCGTCCCTGATGATTTTAGGTAAAAATTGATAATGCCCAAAGTTGATCCCCACGTCAAGACCAATCGAATGATGTATAGGTCAATGACCTTCAAATTTTAAAACTCAAATTTGAAAACCAGCCGACCATTTTAAATTAATTTTGAGATAGCCAAACGATTCCTCGTGAAATTTTACGTAATATAAGTCAAAACTGCGATGAGGTTATTTTTTGTTAAATTTAAAAATAAATAAGAATATTAAAAAACATGGTTTTTTGCAACTCTGAAGGCAGGGTCAACATTATAATCGCATTTAAATTCGTCCCTGATGATTTTAGGTAAAAAGTAATAAGGACCAAAGTTGATCCCCACGTCAAGAACAATCGAATGATGTATATGACAATGACCTTTGGTGACCTTCGGGTCAAAGGTCACCCAGGTCGGCGACCTGAGGTCACCTGACCTAGATGTATGATATGTCATTGAAAAGGTCTTGTTGAGAAGATAATTTTAGTCACCAATTTTTGGTCTGTTCATCGACTACAAGCCGAATAATTGTACTTTTCAAATACACTTCTCATAAAATTGTGCATTTAATTAAACAAAAGTACAATCATTTGGTTTGTAGTCAAAGTACAGACGAAAATATGGTAACCAAAATTATCTTCTTAACAAGACCTTTTCAAAAACATATTAAACATCTAGGTCAGGTGACCTCAGGTCGCCAACCTGGGTGACCTTTGACCTGAAGGTCACCAAAGGTCATTGACCTATACATCATTCGATTGGTCTTGACGTGGGGATCAACTTTGGGCATTTTCAATTTTTACCTACAATCATCAGGGACGAAGTTAAATGCGATTATAATGTTGACCCTGCCTTCGGAGTTGCAAAAAACCATGTTTTTTAATATTCCTATTTATTTTTAAATTTAACAAAAAACAACCTCATCACAGTTTTGACATATATTACGTAAAATTTCACGAGGAATCGTTTGGCTATCTCAAAATTAATTTAAAATGGTCGGCTGGTTTTCAATTTTGAGTTTGAAAATTTACGTTCAAAAAATTGACCTTCACCTTTGACCTACAATTTTGCTTTTAAAAGAATAACTGTAGAACTTGCTGAGACGAGCTCTACCATACCCGGAAAATTGTGTTACGACCACTAGAAGCCGAGATAATTGCGTTTTTTGATTTTTGCAAAATGTCTCATAAAAAAAGCAATTTTGAAAATTTTTTGATAAAAATTTAAGAAACTTGCCTTGGAACTAAGATGATCAAGTGGTGTAAATCTCATATTGATATCTTCAACTTGGGGCGGGGTATGTGAGAACAGAAAGAATTGGACTTTACTAGTTTCAGGTAAAAATATTCAAAGATATTCTAGTGTCAAAATATTTTAGCGCTTGCTATAAAAATAAAACTAGGAAAGTTTGAAAGTTTTAAACAATTCCACGAAGCAACCGGAATAAAATCAGCTTTAATCCTTGGGTAATAGGGCTCTTCCCGATTAGAAATATTTATGAATAAAAATCAAGAGTTTTAGTTAACAATATACGCCATTTTTCATGTGTCAATATATTTTAGCGGTTGCTATAAAAATAAATCTAGCAAAGCTTGAAATTTTAATCAATTCCATGAAGCAACAGGAATAAAATCGGCTTTAATCATTGGGCTATAGGTCTCTTACCGATTAGAATTATTTTTGAAAAAAAAAATAAGAGTTTTAGGAAAAAATATACACCGATTTTCATGTGTCAATATATTTTAGCGCTAGCTATAAAAATAAACCTAGCAATGATTGAAAATTTTAATCAGTTCCATTTAACAACAGGAATAAAATCATCTTTAATTCTTGGGTTAAAGGTCTCATCCCCATTAGAAATATTTATGAATTAAAATTAAGAGTTTTAGGTAATAATATACGCCGATTTTCATGTGTCAATATATTTTAGCGTTTGCTATAAAAATAAAACTAGGAAAGATTGAAAATTTTAATCAATTCCAAGAAGTAACAGGAATAAAATCAGGTTTAATCCTTGGATTATAGGTCTCTTCCCGATTAGAAATATTTATGAAAAAAAAATAAGAGTTTTAGGAAAAAATATACACCGATTTTCATGTGTCAATATATTTTAGCACTAGCTATAAAAATAAAACTAGCAAATATTGAAAATTTTAATCAATTCCAAGAAGCAACAGGAATAAAATCAGCTTTAATCCATGGATTATAGGTCTCTTCCCGATTTGAAATATTTTTGAATTAAAATTAAGAGTTTTAGGAAAAAATATACACCGATTTTCATGTGTCAATATATTTTAGCGCTAGCTATAAAAATAAAACTAGCAAATTTTGAAAATTTTAATCAATTCCAAGAAGCAACAGGAATAAAATCAGCATTAATCATTGGGCTATGAGTCTCTTCCCGATTAGAAATATTATTGAAAAAAAATTAAGAGTTTTAAGACAAAATAAACACCGATTTATATGTGTCAATATATTTTAGCGCTAGCTATAAAAATAAATCTAGCAAAGCTTGAAAATTTTAATCAATTCCATGAAGCACCAGGAATAAAATCAGCTTTAATCATTGGATTATAGGTCTCTTCCCGAATAGAAATATTTATGAAAAAAATTAAGAGTTTTAGGAAAAAATATACACCGATTTTCATGTGTCAATATATTTTAGCGCTAGCTATAAAAATAAAACTAGGAAAGATTGAAAATTTTAATCAATTCCAAGAAGTAAAAGGAATAAAATCAGGTTTAATCCTTGGATTATAGGTCTCTTCCCGATTAGAAATATTTATGAAAAAAATTAAGAGTTTTAGGAAAAAATATACACCGATTTTCATGTGTCAATATTTTTTAGCACTAACTATAAAAATAAAACTAGCAAATATTGAATATTTTAATCAATTCCAAGAAGCAACAGGAATAAAATCAGCTTTAATCCATGGATTATAGGTCTCTTCCCGATTTGAAATATTTTTGAATTAAAATTAAGAGTTTCAGGTAATAATATACGCTGATTTTCATGTGTCAAAATATTTAAGCGCTAGCTATAAAAATAAAACTAGCAAAGTTTGACAATTTTAATCAATTCCAAGAAGCAACAGGAATAAAATCAGCTTTAATACTTGGTTTATAGGTCTCTTCCCGATTAGAAATATTTATGAATAAAAATAAAGAGTTTCAGGTAATAATATACGCCGATTTTCATGTGTCAATATATTTTAGCGCTAGCTATAAAAATAAAACTAGCAAAGTTTGACAATTTTTAACAATTCCATGAAGCAACAGGAATAAAATCAGCATTAATCATTGGGCTATAGGTCTCTTCCCGATTAGAAATATTATTGAAAAAAAATTAAGTGTTTTAAAACAAAATATACACCGATTTTTATGTGTCAATATATTTTAGCGCTAGCTATAAAAATAAATCTAGCAAAGCTTGAAAATTTTAATCAATTCCATGAAGCACCAGGAATAAAATCAGCTTTAATCATTGGATTTTAGGTCTCTTCCCGAATAGAAATATTTATGAAGAAAATTAAGAGTTTTAGGAAAAAATATACACCGATTTTCATGTGTCAATATATTTTAGCGCTAGCTATAAAAATAAAATAAGGAAAGATTGAAAATTTTAATCAATTCCATGAAGTAACAGGAATAAAATCAGCTTTAATCCTTGGATTATAGGTCTCTTCCCGATTAGAAATATTTATGAAAAAAAATTAAGAGTTTTAGGAAAAAATATACACCGATTTTCATGTGTCAATATATTTTAGCGCTACCTATAAAAATAAAATTAGCAAATATTGAAAATTTTAATCAATTCCATGAAGCAACAGGAATAAAATCAGCTTTAATCCTTGGATTATAGGTCTCTTCCCGATTAGAAATATTAATGAAGAAAATTAAGAGTTTTAGGAAAAAATATACACCGATTTTCATGTGTCAATATATTTTAGCGCTAGCTATAAAAATAAAACTAGCAAATATTGAAAATTTTAATCAATTCCAAGAAGCAAAAGGAATAAAATCAGCTTTAATCCTTGGATTATAGGTCTCTTCCCGATTAGAAATATTTATGAAAAAAATTAAGAGTTTTAGGAAAAAATATACACCGATTTTCATGTGTCAATATATTTTAGCGCTAGCTATTAAAATAAAACTAGCAAATATTGAAAATTTTAATCAATTTCAAGAAGCAACAGGAATAAAATCATCTTTATTCCTTGGATTATAGGTCTCTTCCCGATTAGAAATATTTATGAAAAAAATTAAGAGTTTTAGGAAAAAATATACACCGATTTTCATGTGTCAATATATTTTAGCGCTAGCTATAAAAATAAATCTAGCAAAGGTTGAAAATTTTAATCAATTCCATGAAGCAACAGGAATAAAATCAGCTTTAATCCTTGGATAATAGGTCTCTTCTAAATAAGAAATATTATTGAATCAAAATTAAGAGTTTTAGTTAACAATATACGCCGATTTTCATGTGTCAATATATATAAGCAGTAGCTATAAAAAAAAACTAGCAAAGATTGAAAATTTTAATCAATTCCAAGAAGCAACAGGAACAAAATCAGCTTTTATCCTTGGATTATAGGTCTCTTCCCGATTAGAAATATTTATGAAAAAAATTAAGAGTTTTAAGACAAAATATACACGGCATTATTTTTTTTAATGGGACCCACTTTTGGCATGGGGTCGGCGGATCTTGTTGAAAATTGGTAGTTTGGTTGCCCTTAGAGTGTAGACAAATAGTTTAGAAGGA